GTCTCGTTACCGTAAGACTGTGTGGCAGAAACAGTCTCGTTGGCGTAAGACGCAGTGGCAGAAGCGGTCTGATAGAGCTCGCCGGCAGAAGCAGTCTCGCTAGCAGATTGGGTGAGAGGGGCAGTCTCGTTACCGTAAACCTCGCTGGCAGAGACAGACTCGGTGCTGTTGGCAATGGACGCGGTAGAAGTAACAGATTCCTCGGCAGAAACATCAGAGACGGAGGCGGTAGCGGTGGACACGACGGTAGAAGACACCGTGGTCGATTCTGCGGGAAATGTCAGTGGCAAAGACGAGTCGAGAATGAGCGCACGTACCGGTACACGACTCATCAACCTCCTCTACCTCGGTAAAAGACCATTGCTGGTTGTCATTGTAAGAGTAACAGCTCCAGATCTGAACTTCAGTGCCCGCAGTAGACTTGCCGTCGACCAAGTCGAGACAAAAGTCGTCCCAGTGGATCATGGCACCCTCGATGGTGTACTGCTGGTTGGTGTTCCAAGGGTAGCACCCCCAGACCTGTGCGTGGTTTCCAGACCACTTGCCCTCATCGGGAATGTCGACACACATGTTGGTGGCGGTGTTCTGGAGGGCAGATCCAGTCCACAGCCATGTGGTGTCGTCCTCGTCACAGTCCTTCAAGACGAGCTTGGCGCCCTCCTTGGTAGACTTGGGCGCGATACACATGCCAGCATGTTGGGCGGGGGAGATGGCGTAGGTGGTGCCAGAGGTGACTGCGGCAAAGGCGGATGGGAGGACGGTGAGGAGGGCGAAGAGGGCGGTGGAGTAGGACATGATGGATGGGTTCGAGTACCAGCCTCGAGGGGTAGAGATGTACGAGATTTTGTGGGTGTCTATAAAGACGGTGTGGGGAGAATGAATGTGGGTCGTAAACTATGCGTGATGTATCGTGAGCAAATGACCGGATGGTTGATTCGTGCGTGATGTCTAGTCGTGAAAAGAGAAAAATTGCTATGGTGATATGGATGGAAGAGGACAATGCGGCGGGCAGTGAGGGGGCAGGGGGGAGGGGGGAGGGTACGGGACTAGAGAACGGGGTGGAGAGAGAAAAGAATGAGAACAATGTAGAACTGACCTGTTTATATCAGTTACAGGGGGTCGGGGGTTTGATGGCAAAGGCAGAGGCTCGTGCACGCGGTGCAGCGGAAGGACGGAGTGTTGGCGCAGATGTAGGAGTCGGGAGGAAGAAGGGGGAGGGGGGCGGAGGGAGAGGCGTGGGTGTCGGTGGATGTACGGAATGAAAGAATATAAAGAGATGAAGAAAGAACAAGAATCAGATCGCGCCTTTCGGTCCAACGCCATCTAGGCTCCACGCTGCTCGTTGTTTGTCCGCTGGTCCAGACTGGGCAGGGAGCTATGATGCATGCTTTTTCTGGGCATCGGTTCTTGTGCTGGAGATCCTACAGTGGCCTCAATGGGCTTGGGGTACCCCTGCAATTCTAATCGGCGGTGATGCATGGTATATAGCTGGGCTGGGCTTTGAACGCGCTTTCGTGTTTATGGGCGGGCGACATATCACACGCGTCGGGCCTCGTTCAGGGAAAATAACGCCAAACCCTGATCAACGCGCTGCCCTTCCCTGCGGAGCAGCAGAGAGAGAGTTCAGGGTAACGTCAACGCGTTTTTGTATTCACCGTTTGTCTCCAGTTCTTATTGTCCATGACACTAGCCCTAACGCCGCGAAGGGTACATACGACAGATCGCAGATTCTATTGTTCTCAAACGTGCCCATCCGCAAGGATACTCGGATGCGCAAGATCATACACAGATCAGCCTAACGCTGTGCCCCAACTTGCTTTGGTGTGTACAGAGGACAACGGGGATAGCGTCAGCTAGACATCGTCGCCTTACGCGTTGACTGATGTTTGAGGCCTTTCGGCCATCTCTTATTACTCGCAGGCTATGCAGCTATGCAGCTATGCAGCTATGCAAGCTTCCCACCGTCGAGCCATAGCAGACGGTCCTTCGGCCTTCAGCTGACTGTGCACAGCCATTCATCTCCCTCCTCGGGACGGGCGGGACGCGACTCTAGTGTCTTCTCCTTTATTAGAAGCCCTTCATCCCATGATCAACTGACCAACTGACATTTGCCTCCTTCCACAGCATCCCTTTCTCAATACCCAATGCACATCTCCTCATCCCCTCGCTTCATCCACCCCGGCCCCTCACGCACGCACCCTTCCAGGACATTGCCACTACCTGTTCCTTGCGCACAGACAGTCTGTGTACTCTACTGAATCAGGAAACTCCCACCACCCCAAGCGGCCCATCCTCAACAACACCCATCCTGAGTTGCCCTTCCACCATACTTCTCTTCCCAGTGCTATATCCTCTGACGCCCCTACTCGCAGCTGCCCCCCCCGTCCTTGACATCCCGACCCCTCCAATCTTCGGCTGCCTGGACGTGCTAGAAGCAGCTTGCCACACGGCTCTGAGAGCTGTATTCACGGCACTTGACCACACAGCAACGGACTGCTCTCTATACCCCAGCGACCGCAATCGCCCCACTCGACCCTCCCAGGTATATCTTCAAGACTGAAGTGTTCGCTCGTCTGTCCCCTTGCGAGCGCAGTAATACATCCACCCATCTCTTCGCCTTCAAGGGTTATAACCAGTATCTTTTGATTCAAGATGCCGGACCCGTTTGGATCTTTTCGGTGGATCTGTACGTCCTCAAGTCATCTATGAGACTGTTGTACTGACCCCCAGCAGGCTCCCACACAGTCCTTCCACAATGCAATCTCTTCTTTTACCAATACCTCCACGACTCGGTACCGCCTCTCACAACCCTCTTCCCCAACTCTTCAGATTTCTTTGACCAGTACAACATTGTGCGTCTCTTCTATTGCGCAGGATTGACCTAACGACGAGAGACAGACTGGCCAGAATTCGGATGAAGATCCTGTAGTGCAGACAGCAGTATCCGATGTGGGCACAGGCATCGGCTCAAATTGCGAGATTGCGCGTGTCGGGCACCGAGGGTCCAACGGCGATATCGGTACGCCCCTTCCCTCCTTCCCCAGCCCAGGCTGACATCCCCTCAGCCCTGATAGTCCTCTCCGCCCTCGCGCTCTTTACATCCTGGTCCCTCGCCTTCCGCGCCACTCGCCGGTACGCCGCCGTCGGCCGTATCGAACTCCGCCTCCTCCTCCTCTCCTACGGCCTCTACGCCGCCCTCCAAGCCGTCACCATGTCCTCCGTCCTGGAACAAGGCGGAAAAGCGTTGGCGATTTTGAGTGCGATCCATGTTGCGGTGGGGGTGGTGACGGCGTGGTTGTTGTTGGGGAATGCGTTGATTGCTACGCAGGTGGTAGAGTGAGTGACTTTTGGTTGTGATGGGTAGGGGGCTGATGAAAGGTAGGGATGGGACCGCAGCGGCTGTCGTACCTCTCACAATGTTCAGCATCCTCTTCTTCGTACCCACCCTCTACATCTCTCTCGACACTGCTTTTCACTGGACGAGCACATTCAACATTCCTCTTGCCGAAGTGGCCGAAGTCAAGTCGATAGCCCTTTTTGTTTTGACTTTGATCTTTCCAGCCGCGTAAGTCCCATCACCTTGCATTTAGCGAGTTGAGCTGATGACGGACTAGGGCGGCAGTATTGTATCTAGTCATCATGTTGTATATCGTCGTCAGCGTCCTGGACGAAGTCAAACCTGCTTGTAAGCCCCTCGCTCTGCTTTTGCACCGGCAGGAAACTGACCAAAGACACAGTCTTGTACACACTCTCATTCCTCCTCTTCGCCGGCGCCCAAATCATATTCTTCCTCGCTTCCCAACCTCTCTGTAACGTACGTCCTCTTCCCCCTCCCCCTCCCTCTTCTCTCCTCTGTACAAGTTGACGCCAGCTGACCCATGGGGCCAGGCTTCAAACGGCAAAATCAACTCGGCCTTCCTCGCCACGCTACTCCAAACCTTATCCATAGGGTCCTTATACCTAGCGTGGGTGAGTATCACAGAAGATGATTGGGGACACGATGAGTATGGGATGTATTAGTCAAAAGGCGGGCCTTCTTGAAGAGCTGAGGAATTGAGGGATTGGACGCATGGGAGGAAGTATAGAAGGAGAGAGAGGGAGGGAGAGGCAGATCTGCGTTTTTTCTTAGCTTTTTTTGTTCGGGACTTTCAGCTCGTATTCTTAGAATTACTTATGCTAATATTATTTGGTCAATTGGTCATCACACGTTTTGTTTTCAACATACTGTGGTCTGTGGCACAGAAGCTAGAGATATGGTGGCGATGGAATGCGAAAACAATCACGCTGGTACGCTCCATATCACCGAGGCGCTTCGACGATGACAAAAGTATGTCGGGCCGATTCACATGCTAGTGCAATCTTCTCAATACAAGTCCTTTCTGTTGGTTTGGTATATCGAGTCGAAGCTTACAATCTGGGGTGGTGGAGTGTGATTTGGTGGGCCTGTGGGGATGGGGGTTCTCAGGCGCCGTATCAACGTCAGCAAAAGTCGAGTGGTGGGGGTGGGGTGTTTAATAAGGAGGCGATTATCAGCCAACTTTGATATCTCTTCCCCATCATAGTGGCAATAGCATCACGAAGCGTCGAGAGTATATGACGATGAGCGATTACAACCAAAACACACAAGACAAGTCTGCATCCAACAGCACCTATGGCGATGGCTTGTGCCCGAGCAGAGAAGATATAGACCGCCACTTTCTCATGGGCGACGAGAGTACGTTTTCGATGGCTGGGGAGTCGGCGCGTGCGGTTGCGTATGATTCACAGGTACGTGCCGCCCCCGAGGTCAGGTGTCTGAGGTGTGAGAGGGTTCCCAACTGATCGTCGTGGTGGCACAGCTATACACTGGGGTAGCATTTTACGGTCAGAACACGCGCACTACTCGGAACGTGATGACGCCGGCGTTGAGACAGCATTATATTGATACTGCCACCCGAGGAAGTAGCTCTAGTACCCAGCAGATCTCCGATATTCAATCTCAGGCTTCACAGGTCGACAGTCGACAGACGCAACAAGCTGCACAGTCCAAGTCTGCCAGGAAAAGGAAGAGCAGGAGCAGTGCTGATGCGAGTTAGTCTCTTCCCCTCGTCTGATATTGAATGACAATTAATTTGTTGCAGCTGCGGGCAGAGCGGCGAGGACGGAAGATGCTCAAGGTAAGACCGTTCCCATGGCTGACTGCGATGAAGAGGAGAAGGTGTAAGGGATTGGTACGGACTGGTCAGTAGACGCGAGAGGAGGCTCCCTTACATACATCGTGCCGCGTCTTCGTATCCTTTCTCTTATCGATGTATTCTATATCCATCCTCTCACCACCAGCCTATTCCAGGTCGACATCTTGTGTTGGAAGAGGCGGCAGCAGCAGAGAAAGGATGCATTACGCACGGCTTTATTCGGCAAGGCAGGCCAAGGGTGGCCGGGTATTGGATTAAGCAGCGGCGGTGGGGGGTCGGGAATGGGTGTTGCCGGTGTGTTGTGGATCTCAGTGGCTTATAAGGCGGGAGCATCTCATCTTGTGGATTATTCTGTGCTGCTCTACTTTCATACTTTAGCTCCATCGCACCAATCAGATACTGACACTGACAGCCGTGAGCATTACAAAAACGGCCCATCCCACTACCACTTCGCTAACCGCATCCCCAACGCTTTAGCACAAATTTCCTAAGTCGCGTCCAGCCCATTTCATTTTCACCTCCGCATCACATACACCATGGGCAAGACCGAAGTCGCTCCCGGCGTACACCACGTACACCCCCTCCCCGACTCTGTCCCAGAGAGCGAAGACCTCTTTGCCCCCCCTCCCCGTCTGCGCGGCGAGGACAACCGCCCCAAGCCGCACATCGGCCCCAATTACGAGGCCTACCTCAAGGAGTGGGCCAAGACTGTCGGCCCCAACAGCGACGAGTGGTGGGCCGAGAAGGCGAGGACGACCCTCGACTGGTATGAAGACTTCAAGACTGTCCGGGCAGGTGGCTTCGAGGAGGGCGACGTGCAGTGGTTGTGAGTCTTGCCGCGTTGTGTTTCGCCAGACTCTTTGCTGACGACGAGGGCAGCCCCGAGGGTACGCTGAATGCTGCCTACAACTGTGTCGACCGTCACTTTTACGCCAACCCCGACAAGGCCGCCATCATCTACGAGGCCGACGAGCCCAGCGAGTCGCGCGAGATCACCTACAGGGAGCTCATGCAGGAGACTTGCCGACTCGCCAACGTCCTCAAGAGCTATGGTGTCAAGAAGGGCGATGCCGTATCCATCTAGTGCGTGTCTTGTCTTTTCCATCCCCCGAATTTTCGATGGGGCGACTTTTTTCCGCGGGACTGATCAGGGACCAAACACGTAGTCTCCCCATGACCTGGCAATCTGCTGCCGCCTTCCTCGCCTGTGCCCGTATCGGTGCCATCCACTCTGCCGTCTTTGCCGGTTTCTCCGCCGAGTCTCTGCGTGACAGGGTCAACGACTGCGAGTGTAAAGTCTTGATCACGACCGACGAGGGTCGTCGTGGTGGTAAGGGCATTGCTACCAAGGCCAGTAAGTGCCGTCTCGCGTCTATCTGTGGACATAATTAATCATGTGTAGTTGTGGATGCCGCCCTGCAACAGTGTCCACTTGTCGAACACGTTGTCGTCCTCCGAAGGACTGGCAACAAGGTGCCCATGACTGAGGGCCGAGACAAGTGGTGGGACGAAGAGTGCGCCAAGGTGCCCTCTTATGCTCCCTGCGAGCGAATGGCCTCTGAAGACCCCCTCTTCATCCTCTACGTGAGCCTCCCTATGCACTCTCGTAGGCATGACTAACACGACTATAGACTTCCGGATCTACAGGCAAGCCAAAGGGTGTCGTCCACTCTACCGCAGGTTACCTTCTCGGCGCCCACCTTTCCTTGAAATACGTCTTTGACATCCACCCCGACGACCGTTTCGCCTGTATGGCCGATATCGGATGGATCACCGGCCACTCTTACATTATCTACGGTCCCCTCTCAAACGGTATCACCACCACCGTCTTTGAGAGTACGCCCGTGTACCCCACAGCCGCCCGATACTGGGACTTTGTCGACAAGTGGAAGGCTACCCAGCTCTACACTGCGCCCACTGCTATCCGGCTGTTGAGGCGTATGGGAGAGGAGCACGTCAAGAACCATGATCTCTCTTCTCTCAGGGTCTTGGGTTCTGTCGGTGAGCCGATCAACCCCGAGGCTTGGCACTGGTACAACGACTTTCCCGGAAAGCAGCAGTGTGCTATCGTTGATACATACTGGATGACTGAGACCGGTTCGTTCGCCGTCGCCCCCATTCCCGGAGCCATCTCTACCAAGCCCGGATCTGCCACCTTCCCCTTCTTCGGTATGGATCTCGACATTATCGACCCTACCTCTGGTGCCGTGTTGGAGGGTAACGATGTGGAGGGTGTGTTGGTTGCCAAGAAGCCCTGGCCGAGTCTGGCGAGGAGCGTGTACAGGGACCACAAGAGGTACTTGGAGACTTATATGAAGCCTTACCCCGGGTATTTCTTCTTTGGTGATGGTGCTGCTCGGGATTACGACGGCTACCTCTGGATCAAGGGACGTGTTGACGGTACGCCCCCCTCCTCTTCTCGTGTATCTCAATGCTGACGTTGTACAGATGTCATCAACGTCTCTGGCCACCGTCTCTCCACAGCCGAAGTCGAATCCGCCCTCATTCTCCACAAGGGTGTCGCCGAGACTGCCGTCGTGGGCTGCGCGGACGACCTCACAGGTCAGGCAGTGTATGCGTTTGTGACGATGAAGCCCGAGTTTGACTTGAAGACCACCAAGGAGGCGGACTTGAGCAGGGAGTTGGCGATACAGGTTAGGAAGGTCATCGGGCCGTTTGCCGCGCCCAAGAAGATTGTACGTTCCCTCCTCACCCTTTGTCATTTCACAGGCTAATAAAGGTTGCAGTTCCTCGTGTCGGATCTCCCCAAGACGCGATCAGGCAAGATCATGCGAAGGGTGTTACGGAAGATTGTGGCGGGCGAGGCGGACCAGCTTGGAGACCTTTCTTCTGTTGCCGACCCCGAGATTGTCGAGGAGGTCAAGGCCAAGGTTGCCGCCAAGGCCTAAGCCCTCCCCGTGTCTCCCTCTCTTCATGGTTCTTACTCTTTATAACGTATCAGTTCATTTCCGGACCCCTGGGACTATCTCTCTCTCTCGTTCCATATTTTTCTTTTGGTTGTTTCTAGGAGAAGGGAAGAAGGAAGCAAGATGTGAAAACGTGCCCAAAAACGCAAAGACTTCCGATTAGCGTAATATAGCATGAAAGTATGAAGACGCTGTAAGAGCTCGACTGCGGCCCTGTTTGCTGGACATGTGCGACAGGGTATGAGAGCGAAAGGTACAAGGGTTGGGTTCGAATCACATGTCCTTTTGATAAGAATATATCAACACCTGGCCGATCATGCTCGAGAATGCGGTCAACGAATGATACGATTGTGTCAACGAAACCCATTGCATGCACCACCGCCATCTATCATGTATACGATGCTTGTCTACTATCATTTCCTCCCGAGCGTCTTGGCACCACGCTTAAGGGCTGCTTTGGTCTCAGGAGCATCCTTGACGTCGTTCCAGACCGGCCTTGGAAGCTCTACCATCCTATAGGAAGGGTGATAAGCGATCGACCAACATACCGAGGAGGAGACGAGCTTGCTGGTTACTCTGTCCATATCTAATATGGCACATCGTACTCTGTCAGCACACTCCTTCGGGACCAATGCCGGAAGATACGTACCAGATACCTCCAAGTTGGGAGACCGGACGGAGCTGCTCAGCCATGACCCTCATGGGATCATTGGGATCGAGTACAAAATCCCTCTGCATGACATTCCAGTCAGTCGTGGCAATGTTTCCATGGGGACTGTTGCGCGTCGGGGTGAACGGGAAAAACGTACGACTTGGAAGCGGCGGGGACGGGTTTTCCGGGCTCAACGTCCAAGTCGTGCCAATGGACGACTTCACACTCCGTGTGGGGGTTCGACAGTCCTAGAAAAGACGCTGTCAGCAGAACAAATAGAAGTAAAAGACAGAATGATAAAGAGGTTGCACTCACTCTGAGGGACGCTGAGTCAGGCCAGACAAGATCCACTCGTCGACGTCGGCCGGCGCAGAGATCGAGGTATAATTGGCGGCTTCCAGGAATGTTTCGGACATCATGGAAATACAGAATTCCTCGACACAGGCATTTAGATCACTTCTTACGTTAGCCTGACCGGTTTCTCCTATACTTGACACGAGAGCTATAGGTCGGGGGGTCTGCAAGAAATCTTCAGCACGGTTGTTTCTTCTGCTGTATGAACGATGCTTACGACGGCAGAGAGCATCATCTGAAGGAGGGCGTGTCAGCTCTGCCTGGCACTTTACTCGTCCACGAATTGACGCGGGGCTACTACTTGCCTTGTACATGATGGCCTTGACCTCGTTCGCCGGGTTAATGGTCTTCCAACCCTCCTCTGTGGCTTCAAATCCTCTGGCGTGAGGCTGCGTAAAACAAGTGTTGAAGCAGACATCATCAGCTTTTTTGATCATTACACACTGCCGAGACGGCCCAGCTTACCAGACTGCTGAGGCCTTGCCCGGGCGTAAAGTCGGGATCGGGAGTCTTGGTGAAGGCGAGGTCGACATCGGTCTGGAAGGCTGGTCTTGCCGCTTCGACTTCTACTCTGCCGTCAACATCGTCGCCTCTCTCTCGCCGTGGCGGCAAGTTCCGTGAGATAGTGCGGCAAGGCACAGAGTGACTCACCCTTGAAAGGTGTCACTTGTAAGGCAAGGTAGGTGATCTGGAGAATGAGAAATGGGAAGGAGTATCGTATATGTCCCTTTATACATGTCGACAGAGAGCCTTGCCAGCAAGGACTCAGAACCCTGAACCACGTCGATACGCAAATGAGTAACAATCATGCATGAACTGTACTGCTAATCACTGATCAATGGAACAAGACTTCCCTCAACTCTCCTTCTTCACCCTCCACCTCACCCCGTCTTGCCGTTGTCTGACACCGCCGTGAAGTTCAGCATGCAAGATGTGTATTCTGCTGCCTCGTCCCAGTACACATGCCCGAGGGCACAGTCGTTCGTCAACGAGCCTATCATTTCCCCCACGGTTCTATTGAGCCTCTCAGCCACTCCTTTGAGCTAGGGAGTATAGATTGGGGAAAGCTGCTCGATGATTCCTCTTCGCTTGAGGTACTGGATGATGTCGGTGTTTACAAACTCCGAACTATGGGGTGATCACACGACTTTCACCTTTACGCCGACTCGATGCTCAAGCCTGGTGATGAAGTGGTGTGCGGGAGGAGATTGGACTTGTTACGGATGGGGACAGCTAGGCGGACCTTGGAGTAGTCGGCTACGATGCCGAGGTAGTAGCAGTTGCCTGCCTTCGATGCCTCGACCGGACCCTTCAAGTCTAGGTGGATCAAGGATATGACTGTGAAGCTCCATCCTCTTTATCGGGATCCAAGGCCCTCGGCTTCTCTGGCGGCGGCATGCTTGCCACGGAGACCGAGCTCGAAATCATCCAATGGAATAAGACTCTCGGAAAGCTATCAATGTCCCAGCTTGAGGAACGAATCAGTGTTGAATTCCGAACATGGCAGAAAGTAGGTGCTTCGCGCGCGAGGGACGACCCGGGAACAATTCTGGGACAGGACATACCACCCCCCCATAAGTGATACAGAGTAGCGTAATAGCACAAAAGCATGAAGACGCTGTAAGAACTTGAATGTGGCTCTATCAGCTGATTGCGACAGGTGATGAGCTGTGGGCTGCCTGTTGGTCTGGGTACGTGTCCTTCTACCGTGCGGGCTTGTGGCTGACTATGCTGCAGAGCACAACCACCCTCTGAGATTTGACCGTGCTCGGCATGCCGTCCCTCTCACCCACAACGATTGGAGACACATTGAAGCGTGTTGGAATGTGGTGGTGTCGGAGTGGCTTGTACGGTGTCTCTGGAGCCCAGTGAAGGGTAGATAGCGGCTCTAGGTGTTGGGCGGTTGGATGTAGAGATGTACCTACAGAGCCAACTTTGACCTTAGCCGTCATGTGGATGATGGTCCGCCCAAGATACATAAAATATGTGTACCGGAAAGGCGGCTGGCGGCTAACTCGCGCTGAGGTGGCTGCTCGGCATCCCAAGCCACCCTTTCGAGCCACTTTTCCGCTACATGGTCGCGACGGTGTCGATTGAGGACGCGTACGCACTCGCCGCGGCTTCCCAGCTACGAAAAAGGAGTGCCAAGCATGCATGGGTGTAGAACACATGTGGTGTCGACGCTCCGTCGGCGTCGGCTCTCGGTTCCTGAATGGCTGCCGGCGGCCGGGGATGGCCCTGACCGGCCAGTCTTACGAAGTTACGATCCTTGTCGCCGAGAAGGACACAACAGCGCCTGTCTTTTCCATAATCCCACAATCCCCTCCGGCTGTATTTCCACAGGCGAGCCAAGTGAGCCCCGCCGCAGAGTATTCTTCGAGAAGGTGAGTCATCGAGACCTTCAGGAACTGTTGTTGATGATCGCCGCGCCGCGCTCGGCCAAAAAGTCAATTCCACGGCCATAACACCATCGATCGCTCCACATCTCCTCATCGCTCTTCCCATCTTCAATCCCTCAACTGGCATCCAGCAAGGAGACTCCAAGTCCACCTCGCTTGCCCCGCCTTTGGTGTGAGCCATGTCCGTCGACAATCCCCCAGCCGCGCACGATTCCCAGCGCAGGACAGAGGCCTTGGTCGATTCGGCAAACGAGGTTGTGGGACACAATGCCCAGGCTCTGAATACTGGGATCCCCTACCCATCGGCTGTAGGCCCTTCCATCGCTCCTCCTGATGTTACCATCGGCATCCCTCAATCCGAGTCGACCCCGGCCAAACCTGCTCCCTCTGAATACAGCGAGAAACCCTTCCGGACGTCTACCAACTCGTCCGATAAGCTTCGTGAACCAGCTTTGGAAAAGTCATCCACAAACGCCTCTGCCCCTACCAAAAAGTCCAAGTTTGCCCTTCACAAGTCGAAAAAGAAGGACAAGAAGACGGACAAGAAGAAGGACGACGACGAAGCCAATGTTCTTCCTCCCGTCTCGTTTGCCGCCCTCTTCCGGTTCTCTACCTCGTTCGAGCGAGTCGGCATGGTCCTCGGACTCTTTCTCGCTATCGGCGCCGGTGCCGCACAGCCCCTCATGACCCTCATCTTTGGTCGACTCACCACATCGTTCACAAACTTTGCCGTCATCGTACAAGGTATCGAGGATAACGGTGCTTCGGTCGATGCTGCTGCGGCTCTCGAAGCTGCCAAGGCCGATTTGAAGCTGAATGCCGGGCACGATGCACTGTATCTTTTGGCCATCGGTGTAGGCATGTTTTTGGCTACTTGGGCGTACATGTTCATCTGGAACGTTACTGGCGAGCTCAGCTCTAAACGGTTGCGCGAAAAGTATCTTGCCGCTGTCCTCCGACAAGAAGTACGTCCCCTTATTCCTCTTTTCTTTCCCCGCTGATCTTTGCAGATTGCTTACTTTGACGACCTCGGCGCCGGTGAAGTGGCCACTCGCATCCAGACAGACTGTCACCTCGTCCAAGAAGGCACTTCTGAAAAGATCGGTCTCGTCTTTCAATACCTCGCCCAATTCGTCACCGGTTTCGTCCTCGCCTTTGTCAAGTCCCCGCGTCTAGCCGGAGCGCTCTTCTCCATCTTTCCTGTCATCATGATGGTCGGCGGAATCATGATGAAGGGCATGTCCAAGTATGGCACTGGGAGTCTGGAGTATATCGCAAAGGCAGGCAATATCGCGGAAGAGGTCATCGGGAGTATCAGGACTGTCCATGCTTTTGGTAAAGAAAAGGTCTTGGGCGACAAGTTCAACCATCAGATCGAATTGAGCCGGAAGATGGGCAAGAAAGGGTCCAACTACGAAGGTATCGGCTTGGGCATCATGTGTACGTATCATCCTTCTCGTATACGTATATACCCAGCTGACACTTTGGGTAGTTTTTGCCATCTACGCGGCTTACGCGCTGGCCTTCTTCTATGGTGGTGTGCTTGTCACGCAAGGCCGAGTCGACTCTGGAACAGTCATCACCGTCTTCATGTCCATCCTCATTGGTTCATTTAGTATGGCCATGCTCGTGAGTCCCCTTCGCCCAGCTTTGCAGTCTAGCCTGACATCCCCGCAGGCTCCCGAGATGGCAGCAGTCACCAAAGCTCGCGGTGCTGCCGCTAAACTGTACTCTACCATCGACCGTGTCCCGCCTATCGACTCGGCTAGCCCTGACGGCCTGACACCCGACTCTGTCAGGGGAGAGATTAGTCTTGAGGGGGTCAAATTCCATTATCCGTCGAGACCGGGCGTGCCCATCCTTAAAGGTTTTACAACTACGTTTGAGGCTGGAAAGACTTTTGGTGAGTCGCTTTGATCTGTCTTGCTTAAGAGAAGGTAGGCTGATAGCTCTGTGTAGCGCTGGTCGGTGCGTCAGGAAGCGGCAAAAGTACAGTCATCTCCCTTATCGAACGATTCTACGACCCCATCGCTGGTACCGTCAAGCTCGACGGCATCGACATCAAAACGCTCAACCTCAAATGGCTCCGCCAACAGATCGGTCTCGTCTCCCAAGAACCCACCCTGTTTGGCACCACAGTCCGCGGCAACGTCGAACACGGTCTCATCGGCTCCAAATGGGAACACGCCTCCCCCGAAGAAAAGTTTGAGCTCGTCAAGAAAGCTTGTATCGATGCGAATGCGCACGACTTTATCATGCGGCTTCCGGAGGGGTACGAGACGTCTGTAGGTGAGAGAGGGATGTTGTTATCGGGCGGGCAGAAGCAGAGGGTGGCGATCGCTAGGGCCATTGTATCCGACCCGAGGATCTTGTTGTTGGACGAGGCTACTTCGGCGTTGGATACGCAGAGTGAGGGGATTGTGCAGGATGCCCTGGACAGGGCTTCTCGGGGGAGGACGACCATTACCATCGCTCATCGCTTATCGTGAGTCGCATATTCTGACAGTATTACTCTGGCTGACTCGATGTAGTACAATTCGAGATGCCGATAGGATCTATGTGATGGGTGCCGGAGAGGTCCTCGAGGAAGGTTCTCACAACGAACTGTTAGCTACCGAAGGTAGTGTTGTGAGTCCATTCGTCATACTTCGGTGTACCCTAGCTCACAAATCTGTAGTACGCCCAACTCGTCAACAACCAGAAACTCGCTCAAGAAGCAGCCGTCGAAGCTCTCACCCCTGGAGCAGAGCCCGTACAAACCGAGACTGAAGACGTCTTTGAGGACGAGATCCCTCTCAAGCGGGCTGCGACTGGCAGGTCTTTGGAGAGTATCGCCATGGATGGGGAACAGGCAAGGCGCAAGGCAGAGGCTGAAGAGGATGACAAGCTGCCTTCGAGCTACAAGCTCTATGCGAGGTTGCTCAAGATCAACAAGGCTGAGAAGAGGACTTACTTTTATGGTGTGTATCGCGACTTATTCGATCGTTCTGATGACTAATGAGTGTAGGCTTTTTGGGTGCTGTATGCTCGGGGATGGTCTACCCTTCGTTGGCTATCCTGTTCGGCAAAACTTTGGCCGATTTCGAGATTACAAACTTTGGAGAGCTGCGACATGCTCTTGACCGGAAAGCGTGGGTCATCTACAAACCCAATAAACATCACTGACACTTGACAGTTTGTATTTCTTCATCTCCGCCATCGGTTCCGCACTGGTCATGTTCCTGCAAGCTTCCGGATTCTCACGTACTGGATGGGATTTGAACGCGACCTTGAGGCAGAAGCTGTTCCATGCCGTTCTGAGACATGATATCAGATGGTTCGATGAAGAGGAGAACTCTGTATGGCTGACTCACTGGCTGCTGGCTTCGAGCTGACGTTTGGACAGACTGGCGCTGTGACGTCCAACCTTGCCGACCAACCTCAAAAGGTCCAGGGTCTCTTTGGTCCCACACTCGGTACGATAGTGCAATCTTGTGCGACCTTGATTGGCGGTTGCATCATCGGTCTCTGCTACGGCCCTCGTAAGTACCCTGTCCTCTAGCCGGCCCTGGCTGACTATCCTGCAGTCCTCGCTGTGATTGGTATCGCCTGTGTCCCGCTGCTCGTATCTGGCGGTTGGCTTCGACTCAAGGTTGTCGTTCTCAAGGATCAACGCATGAAGAAGCTGCACGCTGCCAGTGCTCATCTCGCTAGCGAGGCTGCCGGCGCAGTAAGGACTGTGGCGAGCCTTACGAGGGAAGATGATGTGGGGAGGATTTACTCTAATGCTTTGTTGGAGCCCATGAAGGTCAACTTGTGAGTCAAGAGTTGGAATATTGAGTCGATGCTGATGCCGTCTCAGCAAGACGTCCATCTACAGTCAAGCGTTCTATGCGGCAAGTCAAGGTATAACCTTCTTGATTATCGCTTTGGTCTTTTACATCGGCGCCCTCTGGATCATCTCCGGGAGATACAGCACTTCCACGTTCTTCACTGTCCTGAACTCTATCGTAAGTCCCTCTCTCTGGATGGAGCTTTTCTGACCCTGCAAACAGGTCTTTGCGGCCATACAAGCCGGTAACATCTTTTCCTTTGTCCCCGACGCCTCCAAAGCCAACTCGTCTGCTGCCTCCATCTTCCGCACCATCGATGACCGACCTTCTATCGATTCTAACTCGACCAATGGCCAGTCACTCGGAGAGGGAGAGGTGGACGGTCATGTCAGGATTGAAGGTGTGCACTTCCGGTATCCGACAAGGCCCGGAGTGAGAGTGTTGAGGGATCTGAGTATCGATGTGCCCGCTGGGAGCTAGTGAGTTGCTTGTCTTCCGTGAAGACCAACCTGACCATTGTAGCATTGCGCTTGTTGGGCCATCTGGCTGCGGTAAATCTACTACCATTCAGATGTTGGAACGCTTCTACAACCCCCTGGTCGGACGAGTTACTTTGGACGGAGTAGATATTAAGGACATCAACGTTTCCAGCTACCGAAGTCATATCGCACTCGTTTCGCAAGAGCCGGCAAGTAACATGTCCTTCACGGCTTCCGGCTTGTGCTGATTATGCTATAGACCTTATACGCTGGTACTGTTCGTTTCAACATTCTGCTAGGTGCCAACAAGCCTATGGAACAAGTCACTCAAGAAGAGATCGACGCTGCCTGCCGAGATGCCAACATCGTAAGTCACCTTTCAGAACGGGACCTGCGAAACCTCAGGATGACATGATCACAGTATGACTTTATCATGTCGCTCCCTGACGGTTTCGACACTGAAGTCGGCGGCAAGGGCTCTCAACTTTCCGGTGGACAAAAGCAACGTCTTGCTATCGCCCGTGCCCTCATACGCAACCCCAAAGTGCTCCTCCTCGACGAAGCCACCTCTGCCCTGGATAGTCAGTCAGAGAAGGTGGTACAGGAAGCGCTGGATAAAGCTGCAAAGGGAAGGACGACGATTGCCATTGCGCATAGACTGTCGAGTATTCAGCATTCAGATCAGATCTACTACTTTTCGGAGGGGAAGGTGGAGGAGCGGGGGACACATCAGGAGCTCTTGGCTCTCAGAGGTGGATACGTGAGTCTGATGTCCACTAGCATAATGCCAAGCTGACCTCGCCCCATAGTACGAGTTGGTGCAAATGCAGAATCTGAGTAGGCAATAGAGTACATGAAATTTTTTCTTGTTCGTGTTCTTCGAGTTCTATCTTCTCTTCTCATCTTCTCTTCTCATCTTCCCTTCTCATCTTCCCTTCTCATCTTGTTTCATAGGGACCCCGCTTGTGTATGAGCGATATGGATATTTAATCATGTAGTACGGTATGTATATAAATCTACATTGCGTACAAGCCCCCGACCGGCCGAAGAAGCGATTCCATAGGAGGTCAGAGTGTGACGGTAAACAAACAGCCAAGAGACACCGAGTCAAGACCACCCCCCTTCCATTGGAATGCACCTCCATTTGCCCCCGCCAGCATGCAGCACTTGTTCACTATACTAGACTCTTCGTTACAATTCTTTCTGTCCAAACATCGCTCCCTACACACTGCATATCCTCTCGTCTTCCCCCCAGTCTTCCGACGACCGTGCCCCTTAACACCCTCGGCTTTCTCCCACCCGTCATCTTTGCTTCCACGCTGTCCCCTCTTCCCTCCCCACTGCCCTTGACGCCGCCACCGCGACCGCCACTCCTCTACCCGCACTGGCACGCCTACGGACAAATCGGACTACCATCGCTGTCGGATCCACACCTGCCGCTGCCCCGACTGTGACATCTGCCATGTCTGACGACGAATTCAACTTCAGTATAGATCTCCCGCGTAGCCAGCAGCGGTGTCAGCTCAAAGCTCGCGCGTCACACATCTGGGGCGAGCTCTATAACCCGGATACCGATAAATATATCAGGGTGCGTTGGGATGATCCACGGTTACTGGCGCAGGAGGCGGAGGAGGAAGCCCGCTTTGAGCGAGCCGCCCTTGAGCGAGAGAAGGAGCTAGAGGTGGAGCGCGCCCTCAGAGGCGATCCCCTTTCAATGTCGCTTACTCAGCGTCTATCTAGGCCGCTGCCTGCCAGCGCAGGCCCTGCTGACGACGACGATGGCATCGTCAAGGCAATGCGACCTGTCCCAGTCACGCAAAAGCAGCAGGACCGGATGAACCTTCCTACGGACGCCTTGGTGGAGGAGGCACAAGAGGCTAAAACAGTACGCCTGTCAAAGGAGCAAAGGAATGGGATGGACGCCATGTTCATCGTGCTCCGTCGTATCATGTGCATTTGGTGCATCGAAAACGACGTCACCTACACCCGAGCGAAGTCAGAGTTCTGCAATGCCAATGTGGTCCGAGCCGACACGGCGTGGAACCTGTACCAGCAGACTGCGGAGGCCGAAGAGCTCCGCTCGGAGGCCAAAAAGGCTCTTGCGAGGACAGCGGTCGAGAGGCGGGAGCATGGTACGTGAATCTGCCCACTATCACCAATCAAAATTCCCATACTGACCAAAGAAAATGTAGGCTCTGTGGTGGCACGCTCCAAGACAAAGACGTCGAACGTCCAGTCCAACAGTGTTGGGAAGTCGTCAGCTCGAGAGGACCTCGATAGCGACGAGGAAGAGGAGGACGACAAGGAGGATGGAGACACGAGATCAGACGGACGCCAAGAGGGGACGGAGGATGGTGACGAGCAGGATGATGACGAGCAGGATGGGCAGGGGAGCAATCAGGGTCAGCTGGACAGGCTGGGGCGGGAGGAAGAGGGGAATGACGGTGACGACGATCAGCCGCACTTCATCCGTCGAGCGTATAAGGCCAGGCAAGATGATTGGAGGGAGAAAAACGGCTTGGACCCAAACAAGACGGATCTCCCAGGATTTCTCGAGTCCATCGACGCCCTTCCCAAGAAAGGGGATAGTACGAGCGACGCCAACAATAACGAGAAGCTCCAGCGCAAGAGCAGGCTCCACGATGTCAACGTTTTCAAAGATACCGTTCAGCGTAGGGTAAGCCTGTCCAGTCGATCATCGGGTTCATATCAAAAGCACCTCCGCTGACAAGCCTAATAGATGAATCAACTCGAGGACAAGCACCAAGTCTCCTGCTTTGTCTTCATCGCCTCTGCCCACCGCCAGGACGAAAGGGTGCAGGAGATCGTTCGCTCGCAGGTGGCCGCCGCCTTTCTGCGAAGTCAGAAGAGTGTTCGACCTTTACCTTTTTTGGGCGAGTTCGCGTCTTTCCTTGAGGGCAACAAGATGGCTCGTGGGGATTGGGCTAGTGGGGCACGGCTGGAGCCCATGCCGAGTGGTGAGTTTCTGTTTATGGGCGTTGTTGAGTTCTACACACTTATCGTGTTCTTGTAACAGACTTGAACGTCGAGAAGCGGCGTGACCACATCCAAAAGACCTTGACCAAGCAGTATAGTGAGTGCATGTCCACCCTCCTCTCTCCTGGCCATTGCGACATGATGGTCTGGTCATTGATAGATCACTACAGGCGAAGTCAGGTCAGCGGCGTACCGGATTCTCCACCCGATGTCCACGAGGCAGCCTTCCGAGCAGAAAACCATCAGCTGGATGTGTCTTGAGAAGCATGGGGTCGAGGTCTTGACGGGCTCTGTGGGAGCAGATCTTCTGCGCGGACTCGATAGCGACGGCAAGAGAATCAAATGGTCGAAGGAGCAATGCCGTGTGGTGTGGGACGAGATGGACAAGGGGCTCATCAAGTTCAAGGTGAAGAATGGTCTGAGGGCGGTCAAGCGTGGGGCGACTGATCAAGGCGGACGAGACGCGGGTGGCAAGAGAGGGAAGACAGTAGACAGGGAGGGGCCAGAAAGGGACGGCGGTGCCAATCAAGAAGGGGGGGAAGAGGGCGGTGTAGGAGAGGGGGGTAGTGGTGGGGGCCCGGGGGCGAGCGCCAGTGGTACCTTGTAAAGTAGAGGCGTGATGGTGCGGCAGGGTGTTTGCCCAAGATACGTACGTATAAATGACTTGCATGCGAACGATGTGTACCAATCGACAAAGTCGCCCATGGTCAGTCTCCCTCGTGCCCCAGGCGTCCTCGCATATGTCACGGACTGTCAGTGTGTAGGGAGCGATGTTTGGACAGAAAGAATTGTAACGAAGAGTCTAGTATAGTGAACAAGTGCTGCATGCTGGACGCGTTTCGACTTGGTGCATATTTGGTGCGGGGACGGGGGCAAATGGAGGTGCATTCCAATGGAAGGGGGGTGCTTCAAATGGAAGCCTACCGGGGCCATTCACGCAGGCCCCCTGTTTGGACCCGCCCGACTGGTCATTAGGGGGGGGGGGGGGGGGGTTATTATTAACCTAGGGAGGTGGTCTTGACACCTCGACAAGTCAACACGCTAGCTACAGTGCGGGATCGGAAATGAATGTGGGCATTGTCGCGTCGGTTGTCAGGTTGGCGGGGCCCTGGGCGGCCCGGGCAGCCCTGCTTCAAGTGCTTGCTGTGGGCTGTGGGCTGTAGGCAATCTCCGCCAGTACGCAGACATCATGTTTGCAGCTCGTTTATCGAGCTCTCTCCCGTGTAATGGAGGTGTAAAAGTATTAGAGCGTTGGTGAGCCGGAGACTCGTATGTAGTGCCGGGAAGGTAATTTGGAGCAATTAGCAAGAAAAAAGTGACGTGTGAAACAGGCCACGACGCGTTTCTTCAGGAACGCCAGCCCGTGAGGCGCCAAATGGCTGGCTTCGAGAGCTTTGAGAAGGCAAAAGAGCAGCACGAGTCTTATGCATGGAGCTATGCAAGGCTATGGAGATGCACATGTGATCAAGTGCTCTGCGTGAGCCAGAAACCGAAGCTATAGGTGCCATGTAGCGCAGAAACGTTCGACGTACAGTACGACTGTGCGACGCTCAGGAAGCGCTCCCGCTGTCCTTTTTCACAAATTTATGGCCTTCATGTACATACGCCTCTCTTGCGAGACCTGCGAGTAGCGTACCCGGGCAGGGAAAAAAAAGAATACATACGCGTCGAGGCGTCTCCGTGTATGCTCGGTATGCAGCAAACTGCATGCCTAGGCAGGGAAAGAGAAACCGTAGCAGCAGAAATTTGTAGGTCGGGTCTCCGAAGTAAGGCGCGTAACGCGACGGTTGCCCGGAGGTGACTGACGCGCAGGATGTTCGATCTCTCGCTTGCGACGATCAAGACACCGTACAAATAAAATGAGAAATTCTATGTATGCCCTGGGCGGGAGAATTCTCCACACGCTAGGTCTTATAATTGTGTATTCAACAGAGATTCCAGCAACTAGCAGCCGTGACAGAACGGCATACACCCCATCAGTTGGTAGTTCCTGTCTCATACGATAGTGTCAATCCCTCTTGGGAGCGTCGACTCGGTGAGTAATACCTCATGCCCGTGGTGGCCCGTCATCTCCCGCTGTTTACTTCTCTCTCTCGGGGGTCCGTGCGGGAGGCTCTTGGGCTGTATGTTGAACGTCAGGCCTCGGCAGCAACCCCATGCCATCAACACGGATTTTGTCTATAAAAGGCCCACTGCCCACATCGGATCTATCTCTCCCATCCAGCAATACTTTCAGCTTCCAGTTCACTCCCAACCACACTCGTTTAACCCACACTCGTTTGAACCAACCTTCTTCCTTCACCTTACCTTTTATCACCCAACCCACATACACTATCGCGATGTTTGCCGGTAACACTCTCGCCCTCTTGGCCTTCGCTGGCTACGCTTCCGCCAACGGTCTTTCTCTTGACATTGGTGCCATCGTCAACGTCGGTGCTTCCATCGGCGTCTCGGCCAGCGCCTCTGTCGACTTGACCAGCTCTTGTTCCGCCAAGGGTGACTTTATCACCGAGCTCTTGGGCCTCGCCCTCTGTTGCTCCGACGACACCCGTACTACGTGAGTCTTGGTCTTTTCTGAGGGTTGATCATTGCTGACGAGGCTTTAGTCCTGACCCCAACTTGACCTGTCCCTTCGACTGGAGCATGCACAAGACCGCCAAGTGGTAAGTCAACTTGTCCTTTTGTGCGGCCGTCACTAACACCTGCCTCAGCTGTATCCCGGAGACCGAAGTCTCTCCTTGTGACTGCGGGTACGTCTCCTCTCACTCTCCTTTCTACATACACTAACACCCTCTCAGTGAAGGCTACACCTACAACGAAGTCACCAAGGTCTGTGACGCCAACACCGGCTCTTGCTCCGACACCCAGTGGTGGCACGAGCGATCCGACACTTGCTGTGACGACTCTTGGGAGCAGGACCCCCCTACTGGCGACTGCCCCACCGGTGTCACCTGCCCTACCGACTGGTTCTGGCACAAGACTCTCAACAAGTGTTTGCCCACTGGCCCCCGTGCCCCCGAGCCCGACTGTGATGACTGGAACACCAACACCCAGTGCTGCGGTGGTGCTTCCCCCTCTCAGGCTGTCCGAAGGAGTGAGTCTCCTTCGACTGCATGGCAAAACGAAAGCTGACGAAATGGGTAGCCAACAACGTCAAGCGATCTCACAGGGCCCAGAAGCAGACCGCTCTCTTCCCCCAGTCCGCTCTTGACCGAACTTACTGCCCCAACGGCTTCCACGCTTGTACCGTCGAGGGTCAGACTGGTAGTGCTTGGTCTTTCGAGTGGTACGTCACATCCTCCTCTTCAAGTGATCTCAAGCTGACTTGGGTATAGCATTGACCCCGTTGTCGAGCTCGAGGCCTGTGGTGGTTGCATTGAGAACGGTGGCCAGGACTGCACAAACATCCCCAACGCTCTCTCTGTCGGCTGTGCTATCGGCAAGTGCCAGGGTGAGTCTTCTCATGCGCCTCTTTTGAGAACCAAAGCTGACAATGACACAGTCTTCTCATGCAAGTACGGCTTCCAGGCCAACTCTGACAACACCGAGTGTATCGCCATCTAAACTCCTTCCCCTCCTCCTACCCTCTCCTCTCCTCTCCCCACCCCCACCTTATTCGTTTTCCTCTATTCTTGATTTACTTCACCCCACTGTATTCTCTCACCTCAACAACAACCCCCTGTATTCTTTAGCTCTCATCACGAACAAACGAAAAAAGGACAATTCTCTTAATACTCTTCTCTTGCTATGCTTTGGTTTCTTTCGTAACTGTTCCGGACAATACTATTAATGACTGTGTCTATGGGCTTGATACCTTTTGGGAGGTAAAGAACGAAAATGAAATGTATTTCATGCCATGCTTTGAGGACTTACTGCTCGACAGCTCGTTACAAGGATGATGCTCACGATGATACCGTGCATGATAGATACCGTACTCTACATTTATAATACTGCGATGATACGATATACTCGAGTAAGGCACTTCGGAGAGACAGATGTCGGATGAGGGGTTTCCATTGTTTCGGACAAGATAGGGGCCGTGCGTGTCGGTCTTTGGGCTTTGCTTTGGGCTGTAGTGGGGTGGGGGTCTGTGCTCGATTGAGTGGGTGGCTTGTGTCGTCGCTAAGGTGTACATCTTGGGAGTGGTTATTTCTGTGACCTGCATTGTTTGCAGTACCAGTGAAGAGTAAGTGTGATCCAGTCCTTATCTCAGGAGATGCACAAGATGGCCACTTCGGAGCATTCCCCAGGCGATAAATGAGCTGAAGCGCGGGGGCGGGTGTGCCTCTGTGCCTCTCCTCAAATACCGGCAGTGCCTCGTATTGTACCGTCGGTCCATAAAGTCAACATAAAGTGCGTAGTCTTCCTCCTCTTCTGCCTTGTTGCTATGTACCTGCATGCAGATGCACGGCAACCTGGGACGCTAGACGCTAGCACCCGGTTACGCTCGCCCGTGAGATGTATAGACAAGTGCAAGACAGGGAACAGGCAGGGTGTGATCTGCAGGACGCAGCGGGTTAGTCCCCTCGCTCTCGTTTCATATCTCTCTATTGTGCCTCCACCTCGCCTGGTTCCTCGGGGCAGAGGACAAGACATCTCCGGGATGCACTCAGATCTGACCTTCGTATCTTTGCATGCGATGCCGTGTCATCGCCCTGCACTGTCCGAAGGCTGCACCTGAGTCATGGCTGTCCTTCCAAGGAGCTGCCCCTACCACCTGTCCTTGCAATCGCCCTGCAATCTATACATCATTACTCAAGATAGTGATGCAGCCATGTGGGCTTGGGGGAGAACGGGCTGTTGTGCGGGTTGTTGTACTCGGGATGTGGACAGTGCGGGATGAAACACGCACAGTGTCTTGCGGCGTTTGTATTGTGCAACAATCAAGACAGCCCATCGAGGGTGCTGCTTGCCCTGGGCTATCCGATGCTGTCTTCCCTCGATCCTCTCCTCCCTGCCCCCTCTCCCACGCATACCTGCATGCCTGCCGAGGACAAAAGAGAATGCTTGTGTCTGATGGTTCCCGCTCGATCCCGTTGAGTGATGCATCTGCCCTGATGGTCCGTGCCCCTCCTTTGCACCCAGTCACGCTGTTCCCCATATATAAGCCCCCTCCCTCCTCTTTTCTCTCTCATCCATCTCTTCTAATTCACCCACCCCTTCTCCCCTTCTCCCCCCCTCCACCCCCTGCCCTGCACCATGCTCGCCGCCAACGCCCTCGCCCTCCTCGCCCTCGCCGGCTCCGTCTCTGCCAACGGTATCTCCCTCGCCCTCGGCACCCGCATCAACCTCGGCGCCCCCGTCCACATCAAGGCCAGCGCCTCCGCCAGCATAAAGAGCTCCTGCACCGGCAAGGGTGACTTCATCACTGAACTCTTGGGTGCCGCCCTCTGTTGTTCGTCTGAAACCCGTACCACGTGAGTGTTGATCATCCCCACGTGCCTCAGCTGCTTACTCGCTTCTCAGCCCCGAGTCGAGCTTGACCTGTCCCTTCAACTGGGGTATGCACAAGACTGCCAAGTGGTACGTGCACTCGCCGTCGTCGTCAACACGCACTGACACCGCTTTGCAGCTGTATTCCTCAACAAGAAAGCTCGGCTTGTGATTGCGGGTACTTACCTTTCCTGTTCACTATCTCTCTCGCTGACATTCTCCGCAGCGAAGGCTACACCTTCAACGAGCAGACTAAAAAGTGCGCCAAAAACTCGGGCTCCTGCTCTTCCTCCCAATGGTGGCACGAGCGATCCAGCTCTTGCTGTGACAACTCGTGGGAGACGTCGCCCCCCAAGGGCACCTGTCCCTCTGGCGTCTCTTGCCCCACCGACTGGTTCTGGCACAAGAAGGAGAGCAAGTGCAAGCCCCTCCACCCCCGTGCGCCCGAGCCCGACTGCAGCGACTGGAACAGCAACACCCATTGTTGTGGTGGTTCCTCTCCTTCCCAGGCTGCTTCCAACGGTAGTGAGTCTTTAATCATCTTTGTGAGAGCTCTAGCTGATGGAAGAGTAGAGGGTCACGGCAAGCGAACATTCAAGGCCCGAGAGCAGACTGCCCTCTTCCCTCAGACTGCTCTTGACAGGACTTATTGCCCCAACGGTCTTCACGCTTGTACCGTCAACGGCAACACTGGCGGCGAGTGGTCTTACGAGTGGTACGTTCTTGCCTTATTCATTGTGCTGCGAACTGACCTCTGGATAGCATCGACCCTATTGTCGAGCTCGAAGCCTGCGGTGGTTGTCTCGAGAATGGCGGACAAGACTGCACCAACATTGCGCACGCCTTGTCTGTCGGATGCTCTGTCGGCACTTGTGAAGGTGAGCCACCCCCACCTGATGAGGTGTACATGTGCTGATAAATTCAATAGTATTCTCTTGCAAGTATGGCTTCAAGCCTTCTGCCAACGCCACCGAGTGCATCGCCGTCTAACCGCCTTCTTCCTCTGCCCTTTTGCCCCCTCCCCACGCTCTACGATACGCTTCCGTACCGGTGTCTACAAAACCTTCTTTGCTCCATACACACTCATTCAAACCGTTCATTCACTCAACTACCTCTATTTAAATCTTAGATCCGTCTGATCAGACTTACCAAAAGGACACTTACAATATGTGATTTTGTGTATATATGATGAGATCTTTATAACTTTCTTTCTTCCTTTTTTTCCTTCTGGGTAGGTGTGATGACTGATGAGAGGGATGAATAAACTGCCTTGCCCTTATCGAGATTATACGTGCGAGGTCAGGCGCGCAAGAACCATACTCGTGAGAAGAGAGTGTCTCGCGTCAGCGTGCAGCATGTTGCGACGTTGGCTGGTATCGCCACTGATCGTGGCGTCCACTTTGTATGTATTAGAGGCTATCTATCATGTGCTGCATGTGCAACATACATCGGGATGCAGGTGGGCCGTAAAAGGACGCATGCTGGATCGCCCGGTGGTTTTAAAGGTCGTGGCGTCTCGCGTCAGCTTGTATCGCGACACTGTCACCACCTGTGCCCTTCTAAGCTTCACACCCTACTAGCTGAAGTAATGTAATCGCTAGGATCAGGCGGGTCATGCGAAACGTCATGCATGAAGCTAAGATTTTGCCTCGAGCAATGCAAGTCAAATAGCCATTCCTTCTTGTATTCAAGCGACGATGGCCCATCTTCCCGTCATGGAAACGACGTATCCAGCGATCTATTCTCACAAGAAGTATACTTGTAGATATCCTTCTGCGGGGAATTCTATTGAGCCTTTGACGGGGCAAGAATGGCCAAGAAGCGGTGCCCAAAGCGGATCATTGTCCGTAAAAGGATGCTTGCTGAATGTCTCGTCAATTTCCGAGGCAGTTCCAGCAGATGTCGTATCTTATGGTATATTCCATTGATCCCTTTCACATGCGATTTGCAACTCCTGGATAGCTTCTTCTTAGAATTTTCGTCGTTGGTCGTGAAAAGAAGTGGGTTAGGGGGAAGTGAGTAAGCCGCTGTTGGGCAATATATAAATACCTAGGCTCCTTCACCTTCCCCCCTGACACAACGTATCTGATAACCAGCATATATAATGGCAGATCAACCAGAGCTCGTCTTCATATCGGTCACCACCTCGACTACCGACCGCACTGACGCCCTTCTACCCGGTACAGATGTGCACAACTCAGAATTCAGCAAAGCAAACGCCTGGGAGATCCTCGATGTCACCATTGAGGGAGACGAGGGTCAACCGGACGTGGTAGAGACGGATGTCCATTACTGGACAAGTGCTACGCAGACGGCGGAGGATTACTATGCAGAGTGAGTCTCGGGGGCAACTTCTTCTTACAAACTCGCGTCGTCGAGCGATCTGATCCAGAGACATTAACGGAGAAGCTGACTTGACACACTTGTTCAGGCTTCACGGAGTCGATGCATCGCAGATTACTATCAAACGGAAGTCAAGGTTTCAGCCCGATAAGAGCATTAGGGGTTGGAATGTGATGGACTTTACAGGTGAGAACAGCACCCAGCAGGTAGAGTGGAGTAAGCTCTGTGGATGTGATGATCAGACGTGTGTACTTCGCTGCGTACCCAAGACGATGTGAGCTGCCCTTCCTTTTTTCTTGTGCTGGATGTTGACATGGTCACTAGCGGTGAGCAAATCATCGCGGACCTCAATGACGATGTCATGGATGCACAAGACGGAGACAATTGAGGGAGGCGGATCTAGTTGCTAGCTTGAAGTATACGCAAGGTGTAGACTAGATACAGGGGGGTGGAAGGTCTCACTATAGCTTTTACGAGTAGCTTTCGTGGTTGAATGACGATCGATGCAGTGGGAGTGCTTGAAATGTGTTTTATGGGTACACAGATACAAATAGAGCATTGTCTTGGGGTTGGAAGGTTGATACTTTATGTGCCGCCCGATGCGCTATCTTCGAAGGGTCGTGGTGATCTCTTTGCTGTCGGGCCTGATCTGAGAGTGGAAGGGTATACATACCCGGGTAGCTACCATCGAGGGCATCGAGGTATGTACATCAAGCCAAAAGGCCCCTTCCTGCATGGAATGTCACTAAACAACTGCTGCGCGTATACAAAATCACTGGCTACTCCTTTTGAAGCTCCAAGGAAGCGTAGAGTGGTGCGGCCGGTGTTGTACAGTGTACATATCGCCAGTCACTACGGATGATGAGTGACTCACCGCGCCGCACCCTTGTATTGTCTATTGTCTCTGCTGTACCGAGCAAGCTGCTGCGCCTGCTGCCAAGAGGTGTGTCCGATCAACATGATGGCACCCCAGACCGAGGTGTCCTTGCGGCGTTGATTGTGGATGCAAGAGGGCGATGGAACAAGGGGAAGAGAATAAATCTGAAAGAGGAGAAATGCGCAGCGCTAATCGCCAAGTCGCGTTCCTCCGCGAATTCGCGAACGATCTTTTGGGTTTTGACGCCCTGAGCTTGAACTTGAATCTCGCCACGAACCTGCGAGCCATATTCCATCTTTCTCTTTCCATCCATCCACCTGTATCTATATCCCCCGACACCTCTGAGAGGCAACCTCCCTCGCTCCCCATCCCGGCTCCAGTCGTCAAGTTTAAAAAGGCTGCCGTTCTATACCCCTTAATCTCCGGGGGCAGTCAAATCCTGTCAATACATCCACCCCCCTCGCCCCCAGCCATGGCCCCGACCCATCTCCCCCCGCCCCTCAGCCCTACTCCCTCTCTCTATGCTGCCGCGGAGAACGGCACCTCAACTTCCACCGGCCCCCTTTCCCCCGGCTTACGACGGACGCCATCCCCTTCCCCGACGCGTTCACGTTTCGGGCATGAAGACGGCAGGGGCGGCGAGCATGGGATACATATGGAACGGTCCTCGTCTGGCATGAACCGAGGAGGACGCGGGGAAGCGTTTGGGTGGAGTGTCTTGACGCCGCAGAGGATCGGGAGGGCAATCGGGGCGAGATTCATGAGGGCTGTCAAGAGAGGGAATCTGCCTTTCCTTATCGTCTTCTTTTCGTGAGCCGATCTCTCTAGCGGTATAGTGCCAAGCTGACCGAGAGCAGGTGTACGATTGTCTTCTTTTCAGCACTCGCGGGCATAGGGTATGTCGAACCTGCCCCATCCGACGCATTGGATATCGTCGCAGCAGCACCCTCGTCAGGAGCAGAAGTACCCGAATATAAATTCGGCGGGCCCGTATTTGACCCTGTAAACGACCGGCAACGATTAGAGAGGAAGATGGCTGAGCAGAGAGCTCTGGAGGAAGCTTGGGCGAGGAAGAAGAGGCCAAAGGATGTGAGTGGGATGATTACTGCGAGGATTGCCTGGGCACTGACGTGAAGCAGGGCGCGTGGATGAGAAAGCAAAGAGACGACAAGGCGGTCAGACGCGTTCCTGCACCAACATTAACAAAGGCCGCAGAGGCGCTTGAGACGCTCGTTGCAGAGATTGCGGATACAGGGGTTGATGGGGCTGAGGGAATTGACCTTAGAAAAGAAGAGGCGAAGAAGGCCTGATCTGATCATAGAGGACGATATAGATGGACGGTTTCCGAAATTTTCTGGGCGTATTGAGATCTGGCTTCACTGCAAAGCATATGGATATATATTGTGTGTTGCAGTCTATCGTTATACATATGCTGGAGAAAAGAACAAGAAAAGCCCAATAGTAAGATTCTACATGCAGATACGGTAGGTCACGTATCTTGTCAAAGGTCAGCGTGTATTCAATTGACATGGGGAGATACTCACCGCCCAGCAGTCTCACTCGCTCGCTCAATCTTCATGACCTGTCCTCGCTTCAGCCCGTAGTATCTCGCGACTGGATCTGTGATCATGATCCGCGGTAATTGGGTCTCCTTCAATCGACTATGCCCATGTCAGCTTTGCTCATGCCATCCTGCGGCACGCTCACTATCGCTTGATGAGAGCGCTCTTCTCTTCTGGCTTCATGATCACATGCTTGGGGACGAGGAAGTGTTTGGTGATGTTGACAAGGAGGTCGGATTCGGGGAAATCTTCGAGATGATATTCAGTCTGCATCTCTTGTAATGTCTACGCGGTGTTAGTCTCAATCGCTGTTGTAAAGTAGCTACACACCTTCTTGGCTGCTGGCGACATCTTTTCGCTCCAGATGATGATACCCCGCCTAGCGCCCATCTTATCCATAGATCCAATGAAGCTGAGCTCCCGTCAGCTGCGTTCAGTCTATTGATGAATCAGACTTACGTCTTCATGGACGCTTTGCTGACATTCTTGTCGGCGCAAAAGTAGACAAAGATCTTATCTGAGGGGTCGTTTTCGTGGATGGCATCAAAGCTCATGTTTGAGCGACTAGAATGAATCGTCAGTCGTGATATATTTCACTTGTCGGGTGGACGCACTCGACCGAACCAGTAGCACCATTTCTCTCCTTAAAGTCTTCGAACGGAACGTTGATTTCATAGTCGGCAAGAAGGTATCCCTGTGAGGCATACAGTCAGCAGATGTAAGGGACAGCACATGAAGGAAACATACTCTGTCTTTGACCATCTCGTGGACGGTTCGAGAGACACGCCATAGCCTCGCCAATTCTCTGTTTGCTTCCTGCGACATTTCAAGGGGAATCCGGGTTGAGGTTGGAGATGGGAGGGCGGAATAGATGGAGTCCAGGGGATTTGATGGACGATTGATAGCGTGGGGAGTATTCTGACCTCGCGGAAGAGCGAAGGGAGCAACATTTTGCTGAAAGGGTAGGCGCGGGGCGGTGACCTCCACTGACTCGTTAGGCGGGCGGTGAGCTTGGCCGGCGGTCTCCGTCTGGGCGCGTGTGAGACGTGCATTGAAAGTTGATTGAAAGTACACTCACCTTCTCATCTCCATCTCCATCTCCCCCCGCTCTCTGCTGCGGCCATGGACGTCCCCATCCTCGTAAGCGCTCCCCTCCACCCTTGCTCCTGCTCATCACACACTCCAGGACCCTCCGCCGCCCTCCCTCATTTCTTCCCTTCGCACCGTCCCCTCTCTCGTAGTACTCTTGCTTCCGCTCATCTTTGCTGTCCCGCCATTCTCCTTGCTGCGCGACTTTCTGTCCCCCTTCTTCTCAGACTTTGTCACTCTCCGCTCCCTGGTCCCTGCTGGACCTGCTACAGCTGACCAGAAGTTCGATCAAGCTGTCCGGCAGCCCAGGGGATGGAAGGCAAACGTGTTGACCGTAGTGGCGCTTGTGGAAGCTGTGGCTTGGTCAGGGATTACCGGGTGGAAGATCCTCAACGTGGCCGACGGACAAGGCGGCACCGTGCATGATACTCTTGCCTCGGCTGGTATGATCATCGTATGGGTGAGTAGCGCATCTCAACTGCTAGATCTTCAGGCTGATTTGCCTATAGCTCGCCATTCTTTTCCAATTCACGTTCAGACCCCTCACCACCCCGCCATGGGCAGTGGTCATTGCTACCAGCGTCCTCTGGGTCACCTCTGTCTGGTCTGTCACGCAGGCTTGGTATATTCAGGCTGTCTCGGGGTCTTTGCCATTCTGGGCACCATGGTCTGTCCTTGGACTTGAGCTTGCCAACATTGTCTCGACCTCTCTCGTCCTCGCCATCCTTGCAAGTCTCAAACTCGCTTCTCCGGAGGTCCTTTCTCGACTGGTGAGGTGCTCTTTGTAGCCATGTGCTTGGATCGGCACAGCAAGCTAGTCCGAGCGTCATGCTTACTCCGCCTCTATAGCCAATTGTCGCGCCGGATGACAATGTCTCCCTCTTCTCATGGATCACCTTCAGCTGGGTCGACTCCTTCATCGAATATGGCAACACACATGAACTCGAGGTCGCTGATCTCCCTCCGCTTTCAATGACCCAACAGACTTTCATTGTCTTTGAGAAATTCAGACAGGTCAAGGCGAGCAAATTGATCTGGAAGATGATGTTGGCAAACAGGTTGGATCTGGTGATGGATGCGAGTTTGACGCTGGTGTCGGTTATCCTCAATTATGCGGGCCCATACTTCCTGAAGAGGATCTTGTAAGTCTTTATGTATACGAAAGGTTTCGGCTGACGAAATAACAGGGAAGGACTGGGCTCCAAGTCAAAGGAAGCAATGTCTAGAGCTTACGTCTACGCCCTTTTCGCGCTTCTCGCATCTGTCTTCAAGGTAGGCCCGTTCATACCACTGCCAACATAGGCTGACAATCTTGCAGGCGTTGACTGATCTGCTGCATCTGTGGAATGGCCGCCGAGGAGCTGTCCGTCTCAAGGCCGAATTGACTGCTGCTGTCTACGACAAGGCGCTCCGCCGCAAGGATGCTTCAGGTGTTGTGACCAAGAGTGATGATGAAAAGGACGACAAGAAGGATGGCAAGGAAAGCAAGATGAGCAATGCGGATAGTGGAAAGGTTGTCAACCTCATGTCTGGTGAGTACAATCACAAACGGAAAGGGCATTGTTGACAGTAGACAGGCGACACGACGCGGATCAGCAACACTTTCAGCAGTGCCTATTTCATTTACAGCGCACCCTTTGAGATCGTTGTGGCTTCGTTCTTCCTCTACAGGTGAGTGTCATCGTCGGCAGCATCCGCTGACTTGGTAGCCTTCTTGGGTGGTCCGCGTTTGCCGGTATCGTTGTTTTGATTGTCGCTGTCCCTCTCAACTCTTTCGTCTCCAAGCGAAGCGTCAAGGTGAGTCTGGATCGTAGCGCTTAGACACTCTTCTAATTGCCGCACAGATCACTCAAGACCTCCTGAAAGCAAGAGACAAGCGTATCGGCGTCATGAACGAGCTTATTGGCGCTATCCAATTTATCAAATTCTTCGCCTGGATTGAACAATGGAAGAACAGGGCGTCGACTGCGCGGGCGGATGAAATGAAGCAGATGATTCGATGTGAGTATCCACCTCGAGTAAAAAGATACGTGGCTTACACAACTCAGCTCTTGTAAACGGTATCTGGTTTTCTCTGCTGTGGTCTCTTGCGCCCATCCTGGTGACGCTTGTCTCGTTCTTCTGCTACATTGTCATCGAAAAGCGAGAATTGACTGTCTCTGTGGCTTTCACCGCCATCTCACTTTTCACTATGCTTCGACTGCCCTTGAATATTATTCCTACTTATGTTAGTAATCCGTTACCACAACATGTGCCAAGGCTGACGTCTTCTCAGGTGGTCGTGCTATTGCAATCGTTGGTGTCAGTCAAGCGCATTGAAGACTTTTTGGAAGAGGATGAAGTGCCAGATTGGGTTTCGTCCCTCAAACGCTCTGGTGATGCCAGGGAGACCCAGGTCACTCGCATCGGATTCGAAAATGCCACCTTCCGATGGAACAGTGGCAAGCAAAGCGAACCTTCCGAGTCCAAGCCTCTTCCTGCTGCCGATTCGCTCGACCGAAGTATCCTCACAGACGAGAGCACCGTTGTCGAAGACTCCTTCTTCACCTTGTCCGACCTCAACATCGACTTTCCCCTCGGTAAACTCAGTGTTATTACTGGGCCTACTGGGTGTGGTAAATCTGCGCTCTTGACGGCTTTGCTTGGTGAGATGGAACTGCTCGATGGAAAGTCATATCTCCCCAAGTATACTACCCAGGTGGATGCCGAGACGGGTCTGAAGAACTCTATCGCGTACGCCGCTCAAACACCGTGGTTGCAACAGATGTCTATCAAGAACAACATTCTTTTTGGAGAACCTTTCCACGAGGAAAGATATGAAATGGTTTTGGACGCTTGTGCTCTGTAAGTACATCTAGACAAAATCAGAACCGCATCCTGATCTTCTTTCTCTCAGCAACCCCGATCTAGATATCCTTGAGGATGGCGATATGACAGAGATCGGAGCGAAGGGTGTCTCTCTGAGTGGTGGTCAGAAGGCTCGAGTAGCTCTTGCTCGTGCCGTGTACTCTTACACCAAGCATCTTCTCTTGGATGACCCTCTTGCCGCTGTCGACTCGCACACTGCCAAGCACCTCACGGACAAGTGTCTCAATGGACCTATCCTTCAAGGCCGTACAGTAGTAAGTGCTCATCGTGACACTCAAGGAGGCAAAGCTGAAGGTGCTCTAGATTTTGGTTTCGCACCATGTCGAGCTCCTACTTTCCTCTACCGATTACCTAGTCAGGATCCTCGACGGCCGCGTCGACTCCCAAGGTTCACCCAAAAGGCTCCGAGAAAGCGGTTCTCTGCAGGGTCTTGTGGCCATTAGCGACGCCGAGCTTCACGCCGAGGAGAGCAAGGGCAAGGGCAAGGCGAAGGCTGTGGACGAGCAGGAGATCGTCGAGGGCGAAGATGCGGAGCAAAAGCAGGAGGTCAAGAAGGAAAAGAGGAAGGGTCCGGGGAAGAAGCTTGTGCAAGGTGAGATATCGTCACACTGATGTATGCGGTTGCTGACGACGAAGCAGATGAGGAAAGGGCGATCGGTAATGTCAAGTGGGAGACCTACAAGCTCTATATCGTTGCTGCGACCTACACTACGTGGGCTTGGACTATCGTCGTTCTCTGTTAGTCTTCATGGTGACTTGACTTGGCATTGCTGACTAAGATCGATACAGTACTAGGCCAAATATTCACCGTCCTGGAACGATATTGGCTCAAGGTTTGGGGCGAAGGTGTGTCGTGACAATTTCGAAGGAAATACTTTCTGACGAGACTTCAGCCTACACGTCGGTGTCTTTGCAAACCATTTGGACAATGCACAAGCCCGCCGTTCATGACTACGCTGGTACCTTCTTCAACACCGACCTTCACCAACACGTTTTGCACCATGTTCCGGCCAACGAACTGATCCGAAACACAACTATGGTCGCTGAAGTCGGCGCGATGGGACTCAAGTCCCATCATCCGCCTGCCGAAACACATCCCACTTTCTACCTCGTTGTCTATACCGCCATTGTGCTCGGCGCAGCTCTACTGGGTGTGGCTTCCAGTGGTATTGGAGCTTGGAGCTCTTACAGGGCTGCGGTGTAAGTAGCTCTCGCCATCAATGAACCGCCTGAGCCTGAGCTGACGTAGATGGTAGCACTCTCCACGATCGTCTTTTGGACCGGGTCATGCGAGGTGAGATCGCTACTGACAATCATGCTGGATGTCGTGCTGACGCTCCTTCTAGCAACTGTCCGTTTCTTCAACGTCACCCCTGTCGGCCGCATCATCAATCGCTTCTCTAGAGACGTAGAAGTCGTCGACTCTTATCTAAACGGCGCTCTGAGGACGGTTATGCTATACCTTGCCAGCTTGATTGGAGCTATTGTGAGTGGCATCTGAGGATGATTGACTGTATGGGCTAATCCGGCGGCTAGGGTGTCGTGGCTTTCATTGTTCCCTGGTTCCTCGTCCCAGCGGCTATAATCAGCTACTTGTACTATCAGTATTCCCTCCTCTACCTTAGAGTCGGTCGAAGCTTGAGGCGATTGGAAGCGACTGTAAGTCCCAGAGCGAAGAGTTGTGCTATGTCGGACGCTGACCCATTCTGCAGCTCAAATCTCCGATCTTGTAGGCTTCGGAGCTCAAGACATGTGATCGCTTGCTGACTTGATCCATAGCTCCGGCTTCGCTGAGCTTTTGGATGGTGTCATCTCGGTTCGAGCATTTTCTGCGGAGACCCGGTTCATGACTCAACTTTGTCAACAAGTTGACCAGACCAATCAAGCTTTCTACTACTACTGGGTACGTCTGAGATCTCCAAGATTGTTCAAGCTGACGATGTGCTCAGATGATGAACCGATGGGTATCGAACATCTCGCCTCCATCTTTCGAGACTTGCTGACCTGGTATAGCTTCTTCTTCGTTTCGACTTCCTCGGCGCTATTTCTGTCGCATTGACCACTCTTCTCGCTCTGAGTGGAGCTGTACCCGCGGGATCTGCTGGTATGGCCATCGTGTCTGCCCAATCATTTGTCTCTGCGTGTTATTGGGTTTCGCGCTTCTGGGGCCAGCTGGAGATGGATTTCAACTCTGTTGAGCGGGTTCAGGAATATCTCTCGCTCCCTCAAGAACCCCCAGGGGTGATCGAGAACAGCCGACCACCAGCATATTGGCCCTCCAATAGCGGCTCGTCCGACTTCATCAGCGTACGAGAAGTTGAAATCAAGTACGCTCCTGACCTTCCTACGGTGTTTAAGGGGTCTTTCGATATCAAGGCTGGGGAGAAGATCGGACTGATTGGACGTACGGGGAGTGGAAAGTCAACGCTGGGCATGAGTCTTTTGAGGTTTACCGATCCTCCTTCGGGAAGCATCTGGCTGGACGGAATTGATATCACCAAGATCGGAGTGGACGATTTGGTGCGTCGCAATATCTACTTTATTTGGTGCAAATCTGACAAGACCGTCTCACATAGCGTTCTCGCATCACCTATATTCCGCAAGGTAAGCAGGTTCTCTCTCGACACCGGATTGCCGCTCACCGTATGAATCAGACGCAGTCCTCTTCTCCGGCACTGTACGCGAAAACCTCGATCCGTTCGAGGAGTACACCGACTCCGCCCTCTACGATGCACTTACCCGGGTCAACCTTGCTCAGGATGCCACTCCTTTGGCAAGTCGAGCGCCCAGCCGGGTCCCATCTAGTCGACGACTGGACGCTATTGCTGCCGAAGAGACTGGGGCTCCGTCATCTGCCGCTTCAGCTCTGGGCTCGGCGGTCAGCTCTGCAGGTGGCAGCAAGACTTCCATCACCCTCACTACAGCAGTTTCTGCCGGCGGTAGCAACTTCTCCCAGGGGCAGAGACAGTTGATAGCCATGGCCAGAGCTCTCTTGAGACGCTCAAACCTCATCGTAAGTTGCTATCTCTTCAGCCGCGCACATGGTACTGACAACGGCATAGATCATGGACGAAGCGACTGCCTCCGTGGATTTTGCAACAGACGAGGCGATACAGACTGCCATTCGCTCCGAGTTCAAGGAATCGACCTTGCTTACTATCGCGCATCGTCTTTCATCCGTCATCGACTACGATAGACTATTGGTACTCTCTGATGGTAGTATCGCCGAGTTTGATACGCCGATCGTGAGTATAGACTTTGTCTTTCGTCTGCGAACAGTGGCTGATGTCAGCACGACTCTTCAGAATCTTTTGCGGAAAGATGGGTCGCTGTTCAAGTCACTATGTGAAAAGTCAGGCAAATATAAAGAGCTCTATAGCGCGGCTGAAAAGAAGGAGGCGGAATCCAAAGCATAAATTGACGAGCGAAAGCTGGGGACCCTGACTCAGTATCAAGAAGCTACCGCCTATACTAGAAGTAGCTTGGAGTTCTGCCGTAACTCAAGTAATTCAAACACAACCATAACTGGTTATAAAAGTCTGCGTCGTGCCATACATTCCTCACTGCATAGCGCATGTATATACAATTTGCATCCCGACCGAGATATGACTTTCCACACATGAAAATGTGTCATTGCTGGCCTCGCAGGCGTTGGCCAAGATCTGCCAGCGGTTATCTGTTACATCTTGCTACCTCGTCGATATATCACGGTACGAGTACTTAAAGTATCCGAGCGTTTTGGTGAAGCAATTGCATATAAATTATACACTGGTACTACGTACTCGTACTGCACAACCGACGATGAAAGGATGGCGTACTGTAATATTGCGACGAGCTGACGAGAGCGCCGACCGCTGGATCACTGTTTAAGGGAGCGGGAATGGAAGCGGGAGAACTAGACTTGAGCCGGACACCGGCCGTACTACAAAGGGCAGACTATCATGATGCATGTACACGCATATAGGATGCTCGTGTATGAATCTTGATAAGTATGTGTGCCAGCAGGTGCAGCAGGCTTGCTCTGCCGTAGTAGCAGAGACGCCGCAGCGACCGATCTCAGGTGTGGTGGTCATCGTATCTTATCTGAACCATTTGTACATCGTCTACAATCAGATACGTTCTTCTTGGAGGGAGTTTCGGTATGCTGCATCAGAAGTGAGCGAAAAGAGCGAAAAAGATGGAAGATGGAGGAGGTTATGATCGGTGCTTCATCGCCGCCGGGCCATAGACTTGCGGTCATTATGTTGCTGCTGATGCATTCCCATGATCTCATATGTGGAGGTGAATTCGGTGTTGAGTCTTTCATTACGATGTGGTTATTAGGCGAATCAAGCAGGTGAGGGCTACAGAGGACAGGAAGAAGCACCTTACTGACGAGTCCTGTGCTTTTTTACTTTTGGTCATTGATGCTCGTTATAGATGTGACTATACAATTTGATATCGAGATATCTATGACACGTCCTGGGGGAGATAGATAGACTGCCGCGAGATCATGACTCTGCTTTCACGAGACTCCGAAATATGACCTATGGAGAATAGAGAGCCCAGTGATCCTCTATGTACAGATAGATTGAAAACGCAGCACGATCGATCCTGCTTCTTTATGGCATTGTCTCATCCTGCTTTTGCATCACTGCATGTTTTTTTTTGTGGTTTCCATTCATGCTGGCTAGATATAACAATCCATCACCAACCAGACACTGGGCTCCTAGACTCATGTGCGACACCCTCGCCCTCCGCCAACCCTGCTGCCACAGCTCCTCCTCGTCAAGACCTCCATCCGCCCAGATTCATGGCTTCGTCAACACCTGCTTCTTCCTCGCCATTATTGTGCACTATGTCCTGGTTCCACACCAGAGGAAATCTCATCCTGTTTTTGAAACCATTGTTGGCGGGACCCGCCGCCGGGTGGCGGGCACGGGCGGCGGGAAGCCAAGAGATGTACGGAGAGGTTTCATCTGTGGAAGAACCGGTTTGGCGGAGTAGCCAGAGGTGGCTGGGTGTCGACACTGCTGCATCAGGCATCTACAGGCCACTGGAGCAACTGAGAGCTGCTCTCTCGTGTGAGTCCAACTCCTCTCTCTATCGCTTCTCTCTAATCACATTTGACTTGCGCTGGCGTGGCAGTTGCAGATGGCTCATCCCCATCTGCAGTTGTACGCACTTGCCGCTTGTTCTGTGCCTCTTTCAAATGTGATATGTGACTCGTTCCCGCTGACAAGTATCCAGGTCTCTGCAACATCGCATCACCACCACTACTCCCTACACCCATCATACGCCGTTCAACGACTTCACATCTCCGCAGAATACGCCAGCGAGATGTCTTATCGGCCTTGACTTTGGTACCACCACCATCTTCATCTCTTCCCCCCTGCGGCAAACGGATGTCACCATGCCAGGTCGGGATCAGAGCGGCGGGGAGATCAAGTCAGGTAGACCATCGCAGAAGATGGAACATTTATATCACCATAGGCCGTCGCTACGCGCGCCATGATGATGGTGATGAATTCTTCAACGTTTCTCTGTGGAGTGTCAAGCGAGGGGAGTGATAAGCAGCAGTAGGCCGTAGGCCACAGACCGGTAAGGTAAGGCCCAGTGCCCATTAGGGTCGGTGATCTAGAATCTGTTGTAAAGGTTATTAGGTTTCATGGATAAAGAAGAAGAAGAAGACATATGGAAACCACTATGGAACACTCCAGCGCGAACGTCCGGCGGCCATCTCCGCAATCCTTTCTTCCAACATACTTTAACACAACAGAATCCAACAAGCTTTCTCACTCCTCGGCAGTCGGCACCAATCGCCCTCGTCGGCTGCCGTCGTCCTTCAACTTCATTCTTGACAGGGTCCTCTTGGGTCTCTTAGCTTGGGTCTTCTGCCTCATGTATCTTACATCAACTACCTCCTATCTATAAGTAAAGCCTTTTAAGCCCCCCGGATCCTCCAGAGACGCTGCTCACTGTTATGCTCCGCCTCAGTGGCCAGCGGGGCCAGCGGCGGCCCCAGCGACCCCTCGACTCTGAAAGATTGGGACCTCCCAAAAGATCAGGGAACTCGACTACTCGAGCGAGTTGCGTTTAAATACCGACGCCCAAACGAGAATCAAGATCAACCCGCGGGCGGGACCCCGAGCTATCGAACGAGAAAGAGAGAGAGAGAAACAGAGTTGATGAAGCCACGCGCCACAACGCTCCGCGCTCAGTGCATTCCGTCGCTTGTCGCTTGCTGCTGGTTTATTACCACTTGGACCACTTGCCACTTGGAGCTTGGCGACTTGATTAAGGATCTAGATTCAAGCGCTGTTCCGACATCACACCCCATGGCTCAATGCAATGTGGCCTATGCCATGCACAATGCCCAGGGCCAGTATACGTCGGGCTTTGACGACATGAACACCATGCTCGGTCCGGGTAGATGCATAAAGTCTACATGTTTTCCAAAATGTCCAAACCCCTAACCCCTAAATAATCTTGCTTTCTTCCTCGTCCCGCTTCTTCTGCGGATCCTACTGATCTGCTGTACACGACCCACGTCCAAACGGCGGCCGGAGGCGCGATTGCCCTATGTATCTGGCCTCTTGGCGAAGTTTGTTTGTCTCCGCATTTGTGCCGCGCATCGACTGCACTTGAACATGTCGTTCTCTCGGGTCATAGACTCATAGTTGAGAGAATTCGAGGCTGCAAGAGGGAAAGTCGCTGATGGTCTTCATGGAAGGGCGTCGACTTTTGAGACATGATGATATCTTGTACTGTACCTGCAGTCCTGCACCCCTGTCACATGTCATCATCATGTGCTAATGGTAACGTAAAAAGAGCTTCTTTCCCGCCGGCAACTGAAAAACCTGACACGAAAGGCCCTTTTCGAGCCTCGGATGTTTTGGACACCCTGTAGCTTTGGAACAATGTAAAGGAGGAAGAGTAGGCGACTGCAAAGGTGGAAATAAACAGGTTCTCGAGCTTGGAGGAGCTTGGGGCCAAGGCCCTTATTAGGGATGGGACAGACAAAAATCACCGGCAGCAAAAAGACGAGGGGCAGTGTTGCTACGACCTGGCCAATGAAAGGGGCGAGAGAGCAGACTTTGAACTATCTAATCTGTGAGATCTATTATTATGGTCTGTGGTCTGAGGCCTGAGGCGGATCATTGATTGCTTGCCGCTCATCATGTAGATACAGTACATCATGGACAGCGACAAGAATGATCATTGGGTCTTTCTACTCTAAAAAGCGTGAAGAGCTGGAGACTGAAACGCTGTAAGCTGTAAGTTCGATCTGGGATCTGGGATCTGCGGCAAGTAGGCGATAAGATCTCTCTCTCCCTCTTGGACAAGGCGATCTGAAGGTCTGAAGTACTGACGGTGGAACGACGGAACGATGACCTTGCTCGGAGGTTTCAGGTAATTAGTACCAGACCCCCAGGCGCGCCAGGCGACAGGAGAGGAGGCTGCCGAGTACGGTCAGGGTCGGCAAGAAAGAAAGCGAGGGTGGCAGCAAGCCTTGCAGGATGGTGGCTGGCAGATTGCTCCTCTACCACTGAGCCACTGCACACCATTGTGGGATACTGGGTGGCATGCCGCGGCAAAAGAGAAAAATATCGCAGAAAAGCTGAGGAGAAGAGCGCAGCAAAGAGTTTACGGCCGCACTAAAAAACGCACAAGGTACGAGAACCGAAAGAAGGGTAAGAGCGCGGACAGTGGCTGTTCTAGCAATGACTAATGACCTGAGTAATGGGGGGCAATTGAGGAACAAATGATCCAGGATCTGGGGCGAGATAGGCCGCCGAGAGCTCCGAGAGGAGCAATTATTACAGAGTGGGTGGCAATGGCCAATGCTGGCTTTCTGCTCTGGATCGACGCAACCCATTCGATGGCCCCGTCCGATCGTAGTCGAGCCATAACGTGTCCATCGCGAGTAGCACGAGGACAATGCATGCATACCGCCAACGTACAGCATCGTGCCGGGTGCATGAGCACCTGCAAGCTGAGCGAGAACCCGGCAGGCTCGTCGGCTGGCCGATTTAATATACGTTACGCACCCTCGTGGTTTAGTGTTATTTGCCATAAGCAGGCAAAATAAACGCGGAAAGCCAGTTTCGTGTCCGCATTGTTCTTTCGGCAATGGGATACACTTTATTTATTTCTCTCTTTCTCTTCGTCTGGCCAAGTGTTGGTGACCTATACCCCCCGCCCGTCCTGCTGTTTACGCACTCTACGACGCACACCAATTGCAACGCCTCAGCGCTCAAAAACCGGGTCGACTGAAACACGAAATCTCACCTTCAGTTGAACACGCAACAACGACCACTTCCCGCATTGGGTAAATCTTTCCCCGCCAGAATTCGTTGCCTGTACGCACACGACACAAGCCGCTGCTGTTCGTCCAGAGCTAAGACTTCAAACCGCTGGGAAATCATTACTGCTTTGAGAGGTACGGTGCTCGGAATGAGCGCAGAGTGAGGCAAGTGTTGACGTTCTTTGTCTCGCGTCGTTCGCTTCAACGTACTCTCCGATTCCCAACTCCCTCCCACCGCCTACTCCTCCAGATCGAACTCCTTCTCGCTGGCTGCTGCCCAGAGTCGACGATCTCCTCGCCGCGCTCCAAAGAGGGCGTACAGGTATCACCCAACTGCGACCCCGGCCCGTCTCTGGCGTTCGTCGGGTCGCGTATCCCCCAGCCCCCAGGTAAGCTTTTGGAGTGGTGTGGCGGTGGACGTTTCCTGATGGGGTGTGCCTGTTAGCTCACTGCCGGGCAGGCGCGAGCTGGAATCAACGAGAGAGTGGAGGACGCGGGAGAGTACGACTTGTGGATTCGCGTCAGTTTACGTGACTGTTTGTACCGCGGTGTCAACAGCGTGGAGGCCGATCGCTGAGCACGGGGAAAGGAGGCCCAGCCACGGGGACAGATCGGCAGGTGGCAGGTGGACGCAGTGTGTGTGTGTGAAGGACCGTGCGGTGGCTGACTGGCTCAGCGCTTGCCAAACACGGGCTGGCTGATCGACAGCGTTCCTTGGCGAATTTTCCGCAGGATCGTCACCCCGTAACTGGCTCTTCCTTTCTTCCCCCCATAAAGGAGACGCCCGGCAGGGCCCCAGAGTATCAAGGACCCCTTTGCGGTGGGTGACGTCTCGCTGAGCACAATGGTACAGATCGACAGCTGATCCACATCGCAGCTGCCACAGCATCCTCTATCCCCGCGACACGTTGTATACACGAGACGGTCGCTGCTCCTCCCACGCACAGTCAACCCCCTTGCCTATCTCGTGTTGACCGCCGACACCGTGTTCTAGTTCCGACCCGGCCCTCGATACACACTCTGCACCATCAGCGAGGCGTGGTCTTTCCTTCTCCCAGCCCTGCGCCCGCTACGCACCCCAATCGTCAGACACGGCCTCACAGAGAACAACACCAGGAACACGACCCATCCTTGAACCTGCAGCGTTTGATTTTTTTCTGTTCCAGCCCTCGGTCTCTTGCATACACGAGTTTCGCATCTGGCAAGAGGTCGTATCGGCGACAAGCACTCCTCTCACGCTTTCCGGCCAGCTCTGGCGTGTCTGATCACATTCTGCCGAGCGCATGGAGAGTTAAAGTCGGCCATCACTTACTCTGCCTTTTGTTTCTCTTTGAAACCTACCCATCTTCTACTTGCCACTTCTGGCACGACACTGCGCCTTTTCGACTCTGCTCAAGCAGAACATGGCTGCATCAATATCGCTACCAAGAATGCCATTCTCAAATTCAGACCCCTATCATGCCCGTGGCTATCCTCCACGAATGCATTCGCCATCTTCGTCCTCTATGGGCCGAGCCTCTTCCCCTCACTCGTCTCTTCATCGCCCACATCCGTATCGCCGGTCTCCCAATTTGCACTCTACCACTGCGACCCCCCAACCAGAACAACAACACCCACGCATAACGCTTCCCCCGCCCAACCTCGGCGGCGGCGCGTTCAAGTTCTCCTCCACCTACGACGCCCCCTCTCCACGCGAGCGCGAGTATCCTCCCCTCACGCACGACCAATCCTGGCGGTCGCCAGTGACGACGGCAGGACGTCCCGTATCGAGTGGGAGTGTAGGTGATCGTTCGCGCACACCTAGTCAGCGACTAGCAGGGGAAGGGCGGGCGCCACTGCATTTACCGCCACTGCATTCGATATCGGGTGGTACGAGTCGTTCAGGGGAAACATCACCGAATTCTGTGGCGCCCACAATGTATCTTCCCCCGCGGGAAGCCGCATCATCATCATCCACTCACATCAGCCCCCCATCGCGCCCGCCGCCGCCGCCACATCCTTATGTCGATTACGAACCGGCATACCCTCCCCGCCCGCAGCATGCGCACGCGCACGAACTGCATCAGCGGCATGATCCCGGGTCAATATATCGCGCCGAAGAACGGTATCGCGATGAAATGTATGAGCGCGGTAACCCGCCTGCTTTCCCTCAACATCCTCACGCGAGTCGAACGCACATGTATGACCCCCCGTCGCCTCTCCGCCAAGTCCACCACCCGCTACCCGGGATGACACAACTGCAGTTCCCACTCCCGGGATATTATGGCGGACCGCCGCCGGATGCGGCTATGAGCATGAGCATGGGGAGACAGAGAAGTCATTCATCCGCACCGGGCTCCTCGAGGCTGACGACGGGGGATGAAGAAGGGGGCAGGGAGAATGCAGCAGGACAGAGCAGGCGTGTGGCGCATCTCATGTCTGAACAAAAACGGAGAGAGTGCGTTTTTTTCTCCTTCCATCTAGTGTCCATGGTACAAGTTGGCTGACGTTTCCTTCTCATGCGTATAGATCGATCAACTCTGGTTTCCAGGCGCTGCGGACGACAGTCCCGACGACGAGCGCTACAGATTCCAAAGCTATCATCCTCAAAAAAGCTGTAGCCCACATCAACCACATGGAGGGGCTGCTCAAGCGACACAATATCGAATTTACGCCCGGCGAGGCGTGGGAGGATGCTGAGGGTAAAAAAGGTCAGTGAGGGGAGATCTGGGAAACGAGGCAAGGCGAGAGGTGATTGGAAGATCTGTGTTCAATCGGAAGAAGAAGAAGAAGAAGAAGAGAGGAGATTGCAATGTGGGAAAAGACAGGCAGCAGGGCAGGAAAGGGGGTGTGCTACAACGATTTCAAAATCGTGGCGTTTGATCTCTTGGTGCACAAATTTACAATGATCTTTTGGACAATTGCATCTCTTTCCTCCATACGTGTAAATCGGTATCATAGCATATAGACAGGGTCCAGGGTACTTGTGGACATTCAAAGTATATTTGTAGATTCTACATGCAAGATGGTCATGTTTATTATTTTTTTTCGCAGCCATTCATGCTAGTGCGGCTGATCAGCTCCTCCAAGCAAGCTGCTCTTCACTCTGCCTCCCCTCACGCTCTTCCGACAACAGCCTCACCCCCTCTCTCGCTACTGTGCCCCCCTCCCCATCAAGATCGAAATCCTCAAAAGCATCGGGATCGGCGCGAGGCGCCAAAGGAAGGTGGCACTGACGGTGCGTAAGGCGGGGGTAGTAGGTGCGGTAAGAGACCCAGGCGACAAACAGGCCAAGGAGGGAGCCGATTAGGACGTCTTGCCAGTGGTCTGTTTGATTTTTCGTTAGATTGCTCGGCAGAAAGGGGAGAGGGACGTACGTCTGTTGTCGGCTGTACGGCTGATGGCGACCATGGCACCGCCGAGGAGAGGGGACAAGGCTGCCCAAGCTCTCGTCTGGAAATCTTGTGAGTGATGGTCGTGGGTAAGGAGAAAGACTTACTCGGTGGCCCCTGATATCCCACAAGTGCATCTTACCAGCCAGGTACAGACTCAAGAAACCGAGACCGGCAAAGGACACTAAGGGCTATCAGTATTACTCCTGGTACGATGGCCATATGCTTACATGAACTGTGCCCGCTGGGGAAGCTCTGTACACACATCAGCCTACCGTCGTAAATCACCCGTGAGCGAACGCACCTTGAAACCATCATTCAGGATGAAAAGATCAGTATTCGTGCAAATGTCTACAGTCGAGAGACCAAAGACGGGGCTGTCGGTAGCCCCAGCAACAGGGAGACATCGGGAGATGAGGTCGGGGCGAGGGCGACCGACCGACATCTTGATAATCTGAGTTACAACACCAGCCATCGTATAGGACATCAAGACACCTGATGCCAGTCAGCAAGACTTTGATATGCAAGGCGTTGGTGCTCACCGACAACAGCATTATGCGAGTCCCACGCATTACGTGCGATAAAGACACTGATGGGGACCAAGACAATGAGGGGTATGCCGATGGAGACAAAGGCGAGCAGACTTGACATATGAGCACACATGCGGGCATAGGTCAAGAAACACTCACTGAGGCGGTACCCGCTCATGCTCGGCAAACGAATGCTGTATACTAATATCGTTGAGAGAAAACTCTCTCTTGTGTCCGCCAGATCTATTCAGCACGACCAATAGGCCCCTGCGTAATCATCGCCCAATCAGTCTCCTTGTGATACAGTAGATCCGCAGCCGATTAAACCCACCACAGAGCAAAGATAAATATCCAATCGATAGCATAGCTCGCGAAGACGGTCTTGTAGGTCGCCTTGACAGTAGCAGCCACCCTCTCTTCCTCCTCGTCTCTAATCTTGCCCCTGCCTTTGTTGGGGATGGTGCTGTCGTTGCGGGTGTAGAGAGGGAGGTCGGGGTTGGCCGCTGAGCCGATGGGAGCTGCTGGGAAGCAGAAGCGGACTGCCTCTGGGATTATCGACATGTCGATGGAATGTATCTCGGAACGCATCTACAATCACATCTCAGCCATGACGACGAGTGGAGGTCACCGACGGCGACCCGGCGGCAGGCCCAAAGAGGAAATTCAGTCCTCCTCTTGTTGAACGACTCTTCGACGGTCAACGGGCACTCTCCACCCTGCTCTCGGCTCGCCCAGCCCCCGTACAATGTGCCAAGCACCCGCAGAGGTCCCGATCTAGAAATAACCAGGCCCGCGCAATATGAACATCAGTCAAAGACAACGAGAGCCACGAGAGCCTTCCCGGTATTCTCCGACCCGCCTCCAACTCTTGCTGGACCGCGTGTACTCCGTGTATGTAGAGTACTCGAGTACCGTGTAATCTCGCTCGTCAGGGACATCTCATAGATAACCATCTGTGTGTGTGTTCCTTGTCCGGCTATGGAAGCTTATCATTTGTATACGTGTTCGGGATATGACTTTGAGCTGAGGTTATCTCGTATAGCCGCGAGGCGTACTTCGGGCCTTCGTCCGACAGTGCTCGTTCTCCTTTCACTGACCGCAGGCTCCTTGTGCTCTAGCTGAGGGATACTAATCCAAGATAGGCGGGACCAATTTTTGTAATCGCACGGGTCCAAATTGTAGAGCGATTAGTGGTTTGCCGCGGCCGATTCGCTGTTTTTTTACAAGAACTTGCCTCTCATCCTCAACCACCTCCATTCCCCCAAAATGGCTTTCCGTCAGTTCGGTACGTCTTCCCCCTCCCGCCCCCTCCTCCTGACAGCCTCCCGCTCACCACCCGCCACAGCTCGCGCGCAGCCCATCTCGGCTCGCCAGGCTCTTGCCCCTCGCTCCGCGCTCGCTATCCCTCGAGCCCCTCTCTTCCAGGCTGCTGCCTTCTCCTCTACTCCCACCAGATTCGCTGCTCTCCCCCCCAAGCCTGAAGAGGCCGCCCTTCCCAAGGGCGCCGAGGTCGTTGCCCCCAAGGTGAGTTTCGGCCGTGATAGTAGTGTACGCGTCTGACATCTGTGGCTTGTCTTAGCCTTACGTGCTCACGCGCGGGCGAAGGTACTTGCAGAACTTTGGTCGAATCACCCTCGTCGCTGTTCTCGGTGCCGTTGGTGCCTTCACTTACGGTAAACGCTTTTTCAGAGACCGCGTCGCCAACCTTTTATCTGACTTTCGACGCAGTGACTCATGCCGCCAAGAACCCTGCCAACCAGCTTCCTGCCGATCCCAAAAAGAAGACTGTCGTCGTTCTTGGTTCCGGTTGGGGTGCCACTTCTTTCTTGAAGTCCCTCGACACCGACGAGTTCAACGTCGTCGTTATCTCTCCTCGAAACTACTTCCTGTTCACCCCTCTCTTGCCCTCTGTTACCGTCGGTACCTTGGAGAACAGGTCCATCATTCAGCCTACCAGGTACATCACCCGACACAAGAAGAGGCAGGTGTCTGTCTACGAGGCTGAGGCCCAGACTGTCGACCCCGAGAAGAAGACTGTCACTTTCGAGGGTAAGTGACTGACCACCTTTCGAGTAACTGATTGCTGATGTGTAACGTAGACATCTCCGACATCAAGGGAAAGTCCGGCTCCGTCACCATCCCTTACGACTACCTCGTCTACGCTGTTGGATGTGAAAACCAGACTTTCGGTATCAAGGGTGTCCCCGAGCACGCTTGCTTCTTGAAGGAGCTTTCTGACGCCGACAAGATCAGGACCAAGCTCATGGACTGTATCGAGACTGCTGCCTTCAAGGACCAGCCCCAGGAGGAGGTTGACCGACTCATGCACATGGTCGTTGTCGGTGGTGGTCCCACTGGTGTCGAGTACGCCGGTGAACTCCACGACTTCTTGATTGCAAGTCTACCTTACCATCATCACCTACATGTCGTACATGTCGCTGACAAGAATTGTGCAGGATGACCTCAAGAAGTGGTACCCCGAGGTTGCCGACAAGCTCAAGATTACCCTTATCGAGGCTCTCCCCAACGTGCTCCCCATGTTCTCCAAGCAGCTCATCGAGTTCACCGAGTCCAGCTTCAAGGACAACCGTATCGACGTCCTCACCCGAACCATGGTCAAGGACGTCAAGGCTCAGTCCGTCGTCGTCCAGGACGCCAACAAGGAGATCAAGGAGATCCCCTACGGTCTCCTCGTCTGGGCTACCGGTAACACCTCCAGGAACATCACACGAGACCTTATGGGCAAGCTTCCCCACACCCAGACCCAGCGAAGGGGTCTCCTCGTCGACGACAAGATGTCTTTGCTCGGTGCCGACGGCGTGTACGCCCTTGGTGACTGTACCGCCACCTCTTACGCCCCCACTGCCCAGGTTGCCAGCCAGCAGGGTCTCTACCTCGCCAGCGTCTTCCAGAAGCTTGGCCAGGTCGCCAAGCTCGAGAGGGAGATTCTCGAGCTCAAGGCTTCCGGCGTCGCCGACCCTTCCACCATCGAGGCTGCTACCAAGAAGCTCATCAGGCACTCCAAGGTCACCCCCTTCCAATACTCTCACCAGGGTTCTCTTGCCTACATTGGTTCCGAGAAGGCTATTGCCGACCTCCGAATCTTTGGCATGAACATTGCTTCCGGTGGTAACGCTGCTTTCCTCTTCTGGCGATCTGTCTACGTTGTAAGTGCAGTTTGATTGTGGTCCATCGGTGGTTTATTGACGTTTCTGCTCAGTCTACTCTTTTCTCCGTCAGGAACAGGACCCTCGTCTTGGCCGATTGGATGAAGGTCAAGGTCTTTGGCCGTGATGTCTCTCGAGAGTAAACGTCGCGTGGACGTGAAGAAGAAGCATGAGGATCCTATTAGAGAATGAGGTGAAGGCCGTTGGTAGCGTCAGGGGATACTGCATTAGACATGGCGTTTTGTTTCGGCGTTTTCTTTTCCCTGCTATCCGTAATCTTGCTTCTTGCTAGATCTTCGACTTCAGGTTGTTTCGGAATATTTAAACTATAGCATAGACAAGGATGCGACACATGATATACATTAGATGATTGCATTTATAAGTCTAGTTTTGGTACATCAAGACATACACACACCACTCAAGCGGTCATCAACCCCAGCTCCTGTCCGATGAGCTCCAAAGACCTCGTAGCCAGGTCTCTTGCAGTAACTTCTATCAATCCTTCGCCATCTCCTACATTGTCACTTCCATCTCCCTCACCCTCTCTTGTCTCAACCGCACCATCCTCCACCTCTGTGGATTTCTCAAACAGTCTCGCATGCTCTGACGGCAAAAGCCAAATAGACGGCGTATGGTCAACATTAGAGGAAAGCTCAAGGAGGGGTGCGTAGAATTGGAAAAGATGGGCGCGAGGAGAGTCTTCGTAGACGAGTGCTAGCTTTGTAGCCACTATGCAGATCGTCAGCTTCAGTAATCCGTGATCGTTGAGGGCTGTACCATGAGCACTGTCTACGGCGCTGCCCTTCCACACCTTGGTAGTAGCCAAGTGTCGCAGGACGTACAGCAGCTCATCCTCCCTTGCCCTGCCGTCGCTGTTAGCACCATTCAATAATTCTGGGTCACATTGTACGCACCTCCCCAACGGTAGATTGCCTCTGATCTTTCTGTCTTCCAGAAATCGACGAATGGACACGTTGAAGCGTTTCAACAAAGACGGGAGAGTCAACTTGGCTATCCTCTGACGACCTTGTATATCTTGCTCCTTCTCGGCCCTTTGTACCGACAACGTCACCAGCAGGTCGAATGCCCAATATCGCAATTCTTCTTGCGTTGTCGGTAGCGCAGGAGCAGTCGTCCCACCACTGACTCGGACATCATACTGATACAGATGACTGGCTCTGCTGAGAACATCGGCGAAATGCGAGATGGCTCTATCCGGGACGAAAGAGTGTCCCAGACGAGGGATCACAATGTCCCGCATTCGGGTAAGGTGGTCAACAACAAAGGTTTCGTCATCAGATGAAACATCGCCAGAGCTGCCAGACATGAGCTTGTACCAGTGTATACCAATTGCACTTACGAGTCGGCCGAAAGCATGCCACCAAACACCTCCATGATCTGAGCCCACAATCTTTCCATTTTTTCGCTCTCGATGTCTTCTGCAAGGTCAGGATGATCACCCCAATCGGCATGTTAAGCACGCACCTTCATTGTCCAGTGCTGCTATGACCCATCCCAATATTGATGAGAAGGCAAGTGTTGCCTGTGTCAAGTCAGTGAGATTACTTAAGGCCGGGTGTAGACTCACACTTCGCCAAAGGGGCGGGTCATCGCCGAATCTATTGGCTGATGGGCAGTCATACTTTAGCTTGATTGGTATGGAGTACATCTTCATCATTCATGGTCAGCTCATTATAATCACAAGAAGAAAATGTAGAGACTCACGCCAATCACGCTCTCGACCGTCCCGTCCTCATACAACTCCTTGTTCTTTGAAGACTCCTCAAATACGTCCTCGATCTTTCTCATTGACCACTTGGACAGAGCGACGTAGGTCAGTTTTGTTCCCGCGTCCCGCTGCCCTACAACTGCCACATACGCCAAAGCTGCAAACTCGGCCAGGCTCGAAAGTACGAGATGTGGACCTAGCAGCTTCGAGTCGGCTATAACCTCGCATATGCTAGTCTGCAAAGGCGACATGACATCGATATCCGGACGCAAATCGGGGGACCGGATATATGTCATGATCGATCGAAGAATAGAAGCGAATTGGGCCAGGCGTTCGATATCGTGAGGAGCGAGATTGTCGTGCAGCAGGGAGCCAGCGCGTGTGAGGGCGATCAAGTTCCCTTGAGTATAAGGCTCGCCGTTGGTGAAGGCATTGCCCATATCCACAAAGGTCAACCAAGAGGCATCGACGATCTTTTGCATCGTGTCGCCAAGGGATATGCGGCTGGCATCTGCGGCCATGAGGACCTTCTCCAATGCCTTGAGGCCGGCCGTACAGCAAGCACGGGCCTGACTCGTGAAGGCATGTCTCACACGATCCAAAAATCGTTCAAGTGCCTCATCAAACGAATCGAGATCGGCGATCAAAGTTAAGAAGGAGCCGAATACCGAACCCACAGAAGTCAAGGCGAGTACTTGCGTCTCTTCGCCTTCTGCTGCTTCGATCAGAGGAAAGATCACTTTCCAAAGTACATCTTGCCAAAGAGCCGAAGTCAAGCCTGACCCATAGATCTCTATACAGCGGAAGAGCGTCTGAATAGCGCTATTCCGCACATCCAGTCGACCATCTTGTCCAAGGGCCAGTAATTGCGTGAGGAGATATAACCACAGCTCTTTCGAGTCTCTTTGCACAGCATCAGACACATTCCACAAGAGACCAATCGCCGCAAGTGCAATATTGACGTCTTCCTTCTGGGCCCCAAAGTAGCCCAGACTGACAATGCACTGCCGCAAGGAATCGTCGTCCAACGAGGAAAGGAAGTCGGTGCAGATGATAGTGAGGGAAGGGAAAGCGATGCGGACGAGGTTGGAACTTCCTTTGCTAGAGACTGTGGCTGGGCGTCGAGCTTCAGAGGATGTATCGCCGGGGTATAGCTGTTCCTTGTTGACTTTGTCGTCTCTGCAAACGCCATCCAACATGTCAAAGATCATTCCCCAGCCGACTTGCAGGGAATGCCCCGAAGACTCCAACAGATGATTCAATGTTTGGTATCCGGACGACCGCACGTCAAAGTCGGTAGCCAAAGAGTTGCTGATAGGCTGTGCGTCAACCTGACGCACGAGAACATCGAATACCTGATGTTGTGTCCTCGACTCTTTGCCAACTCTGACCGCTGCAAGTAACAGCTCACCAAGAGTCTCGGACGCCTGTACTCTGATTGTAGATGTAGCAGTAGGATGTCTCGCTACAGCGAGAAGGTGCTGGGTAATAGCATCCCATCCCACAGCCGGCTCCTTCGTGACGATCCGTTTCAGATTCCGGGTTGACACACTTTTCAGTTTGGTCAAGCTGAATGACCTTTCGACCGACTTGATCCCATGGGAAACGTTGATGCCACTCGTCCGACGCCTGTTGTCTAGAGGGGGACTGAATATGGCGGAAGACGAGGGCGTCGGTGGAAGAGACACTTCTGAGGCATTGTCGGGAAAGAAGCTCGTCTGGGAAGTCTCCATACCAATCATTTCCGAGCTCAACTGACACAGAGCCGTCACAAATGTCGTGAGCGCCTCATCCGGTAGATCCTTTGAAGAGTCAAAGAGACCATTTATCAATTGCTGGATTGATTCAGGCTCGAGATCTTGCAGGATTGGAGGTTTCGGCTCCACGGTCTCACCAGCTCTCCCCAGCGTAGGTGGGGGAGCCTTTTTCGGAGAACCGCCCACGCCCCCATATCGCCTGGGTGCAGATTGTTTAGAGACAGACATCATGAAATTGGCGTTTTGCAAGATTTCCAAGACATCATGCCACGCCTTTCCCAGTGTCGGGCCCAAGACTCGCGCCGTGTTGATTACGCTCCTCAGGCAGGCCAAATTCCTGTCCGACAAGCTCGGTGGGCCAACAGGCGGCGCATTACCAGCAAGGGACGACGCGAACCCAAGAGCATCGGCTGCTATACCTCCTGCATTCCTTTGCCCAGGCGCCTCAATATACGTCTGCATTGCCGACACTGCAGGGGGCGGAACCGCATATTTGCCCAGCGTATTCAAGAAGGCATCTCTCGGTGTGCCAAGTTTGAGCAAGCCGCATGCGACTGTAAAGTCCTGTAGGGCCGTGAGGACCTCGGCAAAGAGCGTATCCGAGAGGTTGGTGCCGATAGAGTACGATAAGGCAGCGAGAAGAGCAGGCCAGGCGGAGGAGGCCATGCCTTGAAGGCAAGTTGGAGGAGGATTCTTGGAAGCGACGACAGTGTAGATGCCTTGTGCGATGGTATTGAGGGATTGGAACGCGACAAGGTAGATGTAGGTCTCGGGAAATATGGGGGCATCTGACTTGTCATGCTGCTCTATTCTATATGGACATCAGCTTGCGTCCAAAGGATCTAGAACAAGACTGACAGTTTCAACTTCATTCCGGAATACTGTCCTAATCCTCCTCCACTGGGTCCCGCCATCATAGCGTTCATCGTCGACACCCCCGCGCTCGCCGCCGACCCCAACATCCCTAGACCCATGTCCAGATACCCACCATGTAGACTCGGGTTCGATCCGGAGGCATCAGCTTGCACGCCTGTAGGGACACCAAGACCATGCATTTGGGATCCCATTCCGAGGAGGGCGGGTTTTTCGTTGATCAGGCGGCCGAGGGCATTGATGATTTTGGCGAAGAGGACTGAACCGCCGGCTTCGTCAAAGTGGGTGTAAATGCTTTGAAGCAGGGCGTGATCGCCGCATATTCTATGTCATATCAGTGATATACCCAATAAACGACAAGATAGGGAACTTGCCCTCTCAAGATCTCCAACGCTAGAACCCGTAACCACGGCGGTGTGTTCTCCTTCACTTTAACATCATCCCCCTCGTGCTCTCCTGCGCCAATCTTGATCAGCGAAGCAAGATAGATCTCTATCTCGCCCGGTAACTGGTCGATGAATGACCGGATTAGAAGAAAGATCAATCTGCACACTCGGAGTGCAATGGGAAATGTTGGCTTCTCGGAGAGGAGTCTGAGCAGGAGCGGGTGGAGTGAATGCTGAAGAAGGAACAAGAGTTCAGGGCGCTATACCCTCGTCAGCTCCCATTACCGTCGAGCCTTAAAAGCGCACCTTTTTGACCCCACTCTCATATCCGCTCAAGATACTCTCAATCAACTCGAGAGCGAATGTCCTCTGCAGATTATGGAGCTTCAGGAGCTTTGGTTTCTCCGCATCCCCGCCTTTCCACAGCCCCCCAAATGTCGACCCATGTGCCCCTGCCGAGGCCGCCAGTATACACAGGTCGGAGAAGATGCTATAAGCGTCCATAGCAGATGGTGTGACTTGGAGTGTTTGTGGTGGCTCTGAGGGGAGGGTAAGGGATACAGTGGAGGGCGTTGGGGGCTCGGAGGGCGTCAAGCTCGGGGACAGGTGGGTTGAAGAGAGGCGGTCGAAGATGAGCATGACTGCTTGGCGGAGGGTGGCGGCGGCTGTTGAAGAGACCACAGACACCCGGGAGTCTTGTAGTTTGAAACACAGTAGTAGTGTCTGGAAGACATGTCAGCTTATGAGAGGTTTGTGGAACGTGGTACTCACATTGCCGAGTACTTCGTCGTGAACATCCTTATTGAACGTCAAGATAGACAACAACGTTTGTAATATCTTGAGCTGAATGTCCACAGCTTGGTTGGCCACGCTGCTCAATGTTCCCAAGACTTCTGGGAGTTTCAACTGTATATCTCATCAGATACTCTTGCATGATTGTGACAATACGGCTTACTGTTGGTACTCCTCCCAGAGCCACGAGCCTCTGCAGCGCAGCAATGCTGATACCGATGACCTTGGCAGTCTTGGTCTTGCACCCGAGGGTTACAGGGCTCAGCAATGTGTCGGCATTATCTACCAGAGTCAGCACCATGTCACTCGGGATTCGTAGGGTGAGACTCACCTAGCAAAGTGTGTCGTGGTAATGGCCCATCCTTGAGAACGACCAGCGCAGCTTCACTCGCCTTGACTTGTGATCAGCTCGAATCTTCCATTCTCCTTCTCAGCGACGTACATCCTTGACTTCGGGATTTCGCCGTTTGGTTTCTACTGCCAGAGCTTGAAGCTCTGAGATGAGAAGGTTATGGTCCTGTCATGGCAATGAGTAAAGTCGGACATCATGTGGTGGAGGTCGGGACGTACCATATTTTGTCTATGAGCTTCCGGGGAACTCCATACAGCTCAGGATCTTTGAGGAGCAGCCGATATCAGATTTCGTCGTCCTTACCGAGCTGATAGTTGGAGAAGGCTAAGCATCACACAGTCAGTGTTACCTGCATGCCGAGGTCATCCGAGTGGACGCGTTGACCTGGCGTCGCCGTTTACCGTAGGCGGAGGCCGCCGAACGTAAGCACGCATCCATTCGGACAGCCAAGTTTCGGAAGGAGTTCAGCGATATATTTACTTGAGCGACGTAGATCCTCCCTTCTTCCCTTCCACACTCATTGCCACAGAGAATAGTCAAGACATCATGGGCGGCGCAAATCGTCAGTACCTCCTTATCACTGTGCCAAATAGTTGCTGACTTCTACCTCTTCATGTGTCTAGTGGAAATCTTCAAATTCGGATTCTATCTCTTTACGCCTATCTATGTCATGGTCAAATTTGCCGATCCTGATTGGTATGTCTGTTTAATCCCTTTCGCAAGACATCAACTGATTCATCGGTTCAGGTATGCCGCCTATGTTGCGCCTGTAAGTACTTTTGTGCGATCGTAATCAGTGTTCGATTATGCTTTGGCATCAGATGATATACAAAGAGGCAACCGACTGACGAAGAATGACAGCTGAAAGAACAATTCTGGCCACCGTATGAGGAAACACACGTACGTCGCCCTATCCCATAGCGACTCCCTTCGCTGACCTTATGCCTCTTCCACTTTCGTCTCATCAACTCCTTCCAACCAACTCCAATCCGTCTCTTAATCACAATAGCAACCTCCCAAAACCCACGACGCTGTCCGTTCAGAATTAGACCGTATGAAGGCCGAAAGGCTAGCCGGCGCCAAGAGACGCCAGGTCGACCAGGCCGCCCTTGGAGAGGATGGCGTTGTTCCAGAGGGACAGGCCGGGGTGGAGGGCGGACGTGGGCAGGGTACGGGAACCAGATGGAAGGTCTCTGGTGGGGGTAGATTGGTCTAGATATTGCAGACCGAGCGACAGAGTATCGCATATGTATTGCATTGGGTATAATCTAGTGCCACACTCATCTCATTTTGGTTCACGGCATGTATTTTGTACTCTATCACACTGTGTGTACATGCATCTGCCTACGTCGGCATGGATGCCCATCGTTAGACCCCAGACGGGACAAGCTGGCAAAGGTGACGAAAACAAGCACCGAGAGTTGACCAAGGACCGCACGGATAGATATCTCGAATGAAGTGGTAAGTAACTGTAGCACTACAGGGAGTCATCTTCATCTGCAAGTTCAACCACTCGAGCAGTTCGGGGACGGGAACTGTTGCGTGCCCTTAGAGTGAGAGCGGCGATGTGGGGTGGTGATGACTGAACTTGATGATCCCCGGTCGACATATTGCACCAAAATTGATCACGCGTCGAGCCCAAAAGATTGGCCATTCCAAGAAGTTTCTGCACCTGCAACCTTGCAACCCGAACCAGACGATTCTTGGTAGTCATGCAATGTAGTCGATCGGCATGCTAGCGACCTAGATACACCAAATCCCAACACCCTCCGCAAATCCACCGAGTTGCTTAGAATCGCAACTTGGAGAAGACTTTCGCAATGTCAGCTTGCATTTGGAATAGACAATAGGATACACTTACACCACCTGTTCTGACCCTTCTGGTACCTCTCCTCAAGAGCCTTCTTGATGGCCTTCTTGGAGTCCTCCCTCTGGGTGGGCTCCTTGAAGGTCTCGGCGGAGACGGAGCCCTTGAGGGACTCGAGCTCGAGCTGGTATCGGGTGGGGAGGAGGTGGGCGTAGTTGATGACCTTGATGAAAGGCTTAACCTTGGATCGTCGCGCAATTCGCTTCTTGCCCATGTTCTTGGAGACCTTGAGGGGGTACCTGCGCCGGGCGTCAATTCTTCATCCTTTGCCAAAAAGCTGAAGCCACACACCTCTCAATACCGGCAACGACGGCGTGGGGGTAAGGTCGGTCCTTGGTTCCGTCATCCTGCTGCTTGATGACAACAACCTTCTTACCGGCCTGTCGGCCAGAAAGGACAACGGCAACTTTTCCGGGCTTGTAGACTGGAGCAAAGTTAGTTATCTGTTCTTGAAGTTGAAAGCGCTGTCTGCAGTCTGGGTGTCGGGGGAGTGTTGTCGAAATTTCGCCCTCTCACATCCTCCTAGTATTCTCCCTCCTCCTATTCTCTTCTCGGTCTACGTCCCCTTGCCCGCATCGCTATCCCCTGTGCTCCCCAACATTCGCTCCATCCATCCCAGACCGAGACCTGACTTTGACTGTAGATTGCACTCACCTAAAGAGACAAGTTAGCATCAACCCCTTCGTGTATTTAGGGCAGCGACTCACTCTTGACCATCTGGATAAACGGGACAGACAGAACGCACTCGGTCAGCTATGCGCCACAGTATGGCTGCTACTACTCACTGTGACTTGCCGGGTTTTTGCTTGAAGTGTGAGAGTCCTCTGAGAGACTCGAGCATGCAAAAAAACCCGACAGTTTCGTGAAGCGGAACTATCCACTGTGGCACTTTTGCTTCCGTCCTGCGAGATTTTAAATGAACCCCAATCATGGGCGGGACTGGCCGGGGTTGCTTACGTATGCATGGCGGCTTCGGGCGGAGTGGTGGAGGCCGGGCTGTAATACGAGATGGGAATGGATCTTGAATGGATCACGCCGAGTGCTCCTTGACTGCCCCCCGCCGTGACCATGCAAGGACGCCCCACCTAACATGGCATCCTCCCCCAACCCCCTCACGCCCCTGCCCCCCTCCATCGCCTCCTCCGCTGACTCCTCCCACACCGCACCCAACACCGCCGCCAGGGCAGACCAGGTGCTCTACCGCTTCTACTTGAAGACCGTCGCTGTCCTCGTAGAGGCCCGGCTCACCCATTATGGGAGTCAGACCACCGATAAGAAGGACCGATGGGTGAGGGATCGTTCACATTGATTGTCTCAGGCCGCGTCATGTCTGACCCATGCACAGTTCAATCTCATCCTTCCCGAGATCGACCTTCACAAGGCCGACCTACAAGTGTACCGGTCTATATCGACATACCAGCCGTTCACCCCTCCCGAGCTCCCATCGGCATCTGCAGACTCTTGCAGTATCCCGCCACTCCTGATAGCGTTCATCCTCGATACAAGTGATGTTCCGCATGGACAAGCTCTACTATGGAACAGAAGTGGCGGCAAGGTCGCTCTGGATATTGGATCGCAGTCTGCGAAAGGAAAAGGAAAGGAGAAGGAGGAGCGATTGGGCATCGTACTGGAGAGATGGACCGTACGCGCCGAGTGAGTGTACTTTGTCGAGCTGATGCAGGGCGTTATACTAACGCTCTACAGAACGATCGCGCAAGCCCCGTCCGGATCTCAAATAGCTCCTCATACAGCGTACCGCCTGGGCATCATCCACTTTCGCGCCCTCCACTCTCTCGTCCGCCTCCTTCCCGCCTACCGACTATATCGACGCTTACGTCGGTCGAATACTGGGCTGCGTATGGGGATCAAACTCTGGGGCGCAGAGGGGTACGACAACTCCCCGCAAGGGCTCAAAGAAGCCTGGGAAGTCATGGAGAGCGACCTGACCAGCCTAGACAAGGGCCTGGAAGAGCTCGTCCTTGGGGGAGAAGAGGTTGAGCCCGAGTCGGTCGAAAAGTACGACTTTCCCCGGATAGATCTCTTCGGCAATGGATATACTGTGCAAGCAGAGTATAGACCTGAAGTGGATTTTACGACGGGAGATTTGGAGGCGGTACTGAGTGAGAAATTCGTGGATATGGATGAGGACTGGTTTACGCCAACTGTGGCTGCAAGACGGCGCTCCGACAGTGTTGCTCCCTCTACTCCAGAGAACCCTCGTACTATCCGCAAGTCTAGTCTCCCCGCGCCTATACCCTCGAGTAATTCCACCACATCTCCGATTCCACAGAGACAGGCTGCCGCGACAGTGGGCAGCTTTGCGTCTGGTGGGTCGTACACCAGACGTAGGCAAGTCTCTGCAGCGGCTACAGCACCGCCAAGCCAGAAGAAGGACAAGTGGGGTGCGCTCGGTGAAGGACTAGCATTTGCGGGAAGGTCACCGGCGGCTAGTCAAGTTGAGGGTCAAGTATGTCCTTCTTCCCTGTCTTGCCGCATTCGCTGATACAATGTAGGTGCCACCGTCACCTAATCCAGGTGGTATTGTAGCAGCCCGTCGTCTGTCTGGGCACTCCATTCAGCCCTTTGGCTCCTCTTCCCCTTCGGCGTCTCTACTCCGCGGCACTCCTCCCCATCCCAATACCTCCGGCGGCGCCCCCATCCCTACAACTTCCGCCCGTCCCTCTATAGCGACCGCTCGCCAATCGACCTCTGTAGGCCGCACATCCTCCTTCTTATCCCAATCCGGCCGGTCATTCACACACGCGCAAATTGCAAACATGTATTCTGGGTCGGCCTCGCCGCCAGTGACGGGTGCAATGTCGGGCATCCATCAGCCGCCTTCGCCTACTGCTCACCAGGGGCTGTGGAAAGGCGATTCGCCCATCTCGCCGTCCAGTTTGACCTTTGCAAAGCAGCCTGTGCCTCGACGGGTGTCCAATTCTCGAGCGGGCTTTACGCCAGGCTCGATGGGATCGCCGTTCGTACCGGGCTCAATCGAGAAAGATGGCAGCCTGTCCACATCCGCCAACGCTCCTTACCTCATCAAACGCTACTCTTCCTCCATCTCCTCACGCCCTTCTTCTGTCAACCAGCGGACGGCACTTTCAGTATCTCACGGTTCAGGCGACAGCGCTTCCGGCTCATATGGAGCAGGTGGAGGGCTGAGAAGGACCAATACGCGGGAAAGTGGGCTGAGACATAGTGTTGAGCCAAAGAGGGAAGCGACCATCAAGGTAGCAGATGCGGACGATATCCAGGCGTTCTTGCGCACGCTGGATAGTGCCCCTGCTCCTAGTTCAAGAAATCAATTCGGGATGCCTGGCGGATCGGCATACACCTCGATGGGATCATCTCATTCCCGTGGTGAGATTCCCACGTCACCTCTTGCAAGGTCACGCCGACAATCCCCATCGCAACTTCATACCAACGGCCAAGTACCCAAAACCCGTGCATGGGTTGACGAGGAACTCAAAAGATTTGCGGGGAGGTTTGATTCTCCTGGCGATCTCCCTATCAGTCCCGGTCTCAGTAAGAATCCAAGCCAGAGCGCGACAGCAATGAGCTCGGCAAGGGGATCGTTCTCCCAAGGGCCAGGGACGCCGGGATTGTTGAGTGCTAGCAGGCCGAGCAGTGCTGCCATCAAGATAGCTAGCGGGAGAGGTCAAGGAGAACGGGATGCCGAGTTGGTCTTTGGGAGCAGAAGGAGATCGTCTGGTGGGCCATCGCCCCTCTCTCAGGGTCTCGTGGCGCCTGGAAAGAGTCCCCTCGGGAGCCCGAGGCGGACACTCGGATCTGTGGAGGAGCATGGGGCCTTGAACAGACCCGCACTTGACAAGGAAGAAGTTCATGGAGGTCAAGGGGCCAGGAGCTTACCGGGTAGCTCTCTGGGGGTTACTACTGCTCGAGACCGGTCGTCAGATCCACCTCTCAGGTCTGCTGCACCCTATGGCTATCCCTATCCCACGCCCTACCCGCCCGTATCCTCTCGGCCCTCAGACCTGTCCCCTCAGACCACGGGCAGTGCTTCCACCGACTCTTATACCACCGCCAGTCCGGTAGCTGGAGCCGGGAGGACTCAACGCCGTGGACCGGTTCTACTCAAGGGAGGCTTCGGAGGCACATCAGCCAGTAACACGCCCAGTCATAGTCCAGTGAGAGATCGCTCAAGGGCGGGGATGCCTTCGAGCTCTGGGAGTACTGGATTGGGAGTTGTGTATGGGCATGGGAAGGAGGCAAGAGCGGGTTCTGTTCCTTTGGATAAAGAAGATAGAGTGGACATTGGCAGGAGAGGGAGCACCTCCATTGCCCAAGTTCACGCATATAATTCGGGTCTACCCTCCCCAGCCATCTCCGAACGACGAACATCGACTCTTGATGGTTTAGGGGGGCTCCGTTCGGCCAGCGGTTCGGGTATAGCCCGTATCGTAGGACAGAGGACTGCACCGAGCTCTCTAGGCCGTGAAGACCATACTAGGCGAGGTGGGGCCGAGGCGAGGAGAGGACGAAGCGATGAACAGAGTACGGAAGGACAGGAAGAAGACGAGGGAGCTGAGGGGATTGTGGGAGATATGAGTGGTCTGGGCTTTGACGAAGCTTAGCATGTTAGATCAAGTAGAGCCATCTGTATCTTGTAGCATTGGTCAAGTTGTCATATATAGAAAGAGAAGTGGTATGTCTAGTGGACGTCTATTGTCGCAGTGTGGCTGTGTAGTTAGATATACATTCCGACTGGACATGAAGGACGTCTCTCATCTATCATCATTCTTGTTCATACCTGCCAGTGCCCTTCGCTTCATACACTGGTACCTGGGGAAACCAACTCGTTGCCATGATGACCGAAAGTCTCCTAAAGAACCGTTGTTATGGGTTTGTCCGCCGCTGCCAGGGTCAGCTTGGTAATTATCGCACAGACGTTTCAGCCACACGACCGCGAGCCGCAAAAAGCCACCCTGTCAGTCGTTGCCTCGACCAAGACATTTGACGACACAAACACTTGGAAACCATGTCCAGATGCTTCTTCACCTGCGGTCCCGTTTGCAAAGCAAGGGTTCAAGCTTTCAAAGTGGCCTGGCGAGTGGCTATGGGTGCATCAAGTCCTTGGAACGTCTGCTCTTGATCTCTTGTACCAAAAGTAATTATTTGGAGCTCTTCGGATCGAGGAGGAGGGGTTATTCGGCATAACAGCACCCCCCGGCACTCGTATCGTGGCGGATCTCTCTACACTCTTTTCAAACAGTCTCCTGGCTCTGGAAGTCAAGCTATATTCCCGCCGCCGCTGGTCGGCAGCCGACTATCAACAACGACCACTCAGAGACCCGTTCTCGAGGTCAAAACATACGTGCAAACAAGGGACGGGGAGAACAGGTCGAAGAAAGTAATGGACGTCCGGTTCCCGGAGCCTGGGGAGCTGTTTTGCTTCTCTGCAATCTCCGAATCGAGATGCCAGGGCTTAACAGGGATACAATACGTCAGTGAGTGGTGATATCTGTAACGACTGTCAGAATAGAGCTGATGAGACCAGTGGCGTACATCCCCAGTGCTTTGGGGATCCTCCTCATACCAACCCTTTTGACGGTAGCGTACACTCGTCCTCGGTCGTCAGTCAAGCTTCATGACCAGGGGAAAATGGTCGCTGACATGTCTGCAGCACTCTGATACTATTGTCAATCGAGGTCCTCCTGACGATTGCTCTCTCAACATGGGATTTTGCGGTCCACATAGACGCGCCCAAAGCCCAAAACATCGCCGTCAACGACACCGCCATAGCCATCATATCAGCCCTCCCGAACCTCTTCTCCCTCTTATTCTGCACGTCCCACATAATCACCGACCTTCGTCCTCTTCTGCCTCCCGTCCTGCGAGCCGACACCACAACTCACGGTTTCGTACTCCTCATCGCGCCGCTGGTACCGATAGCGTTTGTCGTCGAGCTGCTGTCAACATTCTTGCTGTTGGACTATGCTCAGCAGCTGAGGACGAGCCTCGTCGGCTTCGAAACCTCATCTGACTTGGGCCTCCATAACATCTTGACTTGGATCGCTGCGGGCACCTCAATGGGGTTTATAGCCTTCACGATCCTGATAGGCATCCTCATCTTGACGAATAGCAAGACCCGATACAGTCGCAAAATCAAAAACATCACTCGATGGGGTGAGCGTGCTATTCTGTTCGGATTGCTCATCGCCGCTGTCGATATTGGCCTTTCTTTGGTGCCCGTTGTGTACCCACTCATTGTCGCCAGACACGCCATCCAATTTGTCTCGAGAATCTTCATAGCATTCGGGCTGCTGGGAATCTACCGCTATGAGATGGGAGGCTGGGGTGAGATTGGAGACAGCTATACAGCGTTCACCGACGATAAGAGACGTCCCGCATCTATCGCTTCTGTCTCCACTTTCGGCACACCTCCCATCTACCCTCTCCCTACTGGCCAGAGACCCGACATGTACGTCTTACCTGGTAAGACGGGACCCCCCACAAAACCGCAAGCTGGGACGTACGTTTTGCCCGGTGCTTCCTTTGCCGCTCGGAGAAAGGCCTCTCAGAAACGAAAAGGCAACAAACCACGAGGAGCTCCTTCAAAACTCGTGATTGGAGGTCCAATTCCGGGGACGTTCCAGAGACTTGCTGGCGGCGAAACAAGAGACTTTTACATGCTGAATAGTGCCAAGTTTGGAGGAATGGCGGGAGCCCAAGCCGGTGGCATTGGGAGAGGTCTGGCAGCTGCCGGAACCACAGGAATGATGGGGGCTGTCTCGAGATTAGGCATGGAGCGAGTGACTTTGAGAACAGTGAGTCCTGTGTTCCAAGCATCACGAAATACGACTGACAAGCCGAAAGCCTGCTGGGAGAGGGCCAATGCTTTCGATCGTTTCCTCGACGTTCTCGGCGCTTGAGCCCATCACTCGAACTCGCTCGGAGCAACCTGCCATTGAGCCTGGACCCGGGACCGCCATTTCCTCCACAGCACTCACTGTCAAAAAGTTTACGGGTTCCATCTACGCCCCTTCTGCCATCTCTGTCGAAGCCAGCGAGCTCCACCGATGGCCGCCCGAAGGTTTGGTGAGGCTGAAGGGTCTGGAAGAAGAAAAGGAGCGGGCCTTTGAGGGTATTGACATGGAGGAGAAGGAGATTGAGGGTGTTGGGACAGGAGTGCTCAGAGCAAGTAGAATGGCGAGCGAGATGGACATGGTAGAGAAGGCCTGGATGGCCGGAGACCTTGCCCGCGCGAGCCCCGTAGTGGATGACCGCGATATCCAGCTTCGGCAGACGGCCCGCTTTCTCACCTCCGAGTCACTCACGCCCACCGGACAGGTCGATTCCCCTGCCCCCATTGCTCGGCAGCTCCCCACCGCGGGGCTGATACAAGAGCCACTGATACCGGTCAAGTCGTACTTTACGTCCAAGAATCCCAGGGCATCTGTAATGGCTTCGGTGCTTTCTGGGCATACACGCAATGGGTCCGGTGGAAGTGGGACATCGCTGATGGCGAACGAGGCAGTCCGAATGCCTCAGCCTGCCATGGTGACGGAGAGGGAGGAAGTGCAGCAGCTAGCCATGCGTCCCCGGCCACCTATACCTCTGGCGATGAGGCAGCCATGGATACCACAACGCCAAATCTCAGACCCACTAAAAGCTATCCGCGCCAACGCTCGGGCAAACTCCTCTTCGCCCATTTTGAGCGAGACTTCACCCACCCTAGGCACTTGGGAGAAGAACAATCGACGGACATTTGCGTCGTCCATTTCAGCCTACTCCAATCGGTCAGCAGTGTCACCCCCAGCCGAAGCAGACTTCAATCTCTTCTATGCCGCGCCCACCGAAACGCCCGACAACAGCCCTCCTAGAGATAGTGCTCTAGCGACCGCAGCCGCAGCCGCCGAGATTGTCAATTCAGACATGTCCCAGTACCAAAAATATTCGCAAACCCTCCGAGGGTCGCAGGTGAAGAGCGTGATGCGGTTACAAAAGGAGGCCGGGCTGGACGAGTTTGATTATGATAGACTGGAGGAAAGCGATAGCGAAGATAGGCAGGACAAAGGGTGGCGCATGAGCCTGAATTCGTTAGACAGTGAGGATCTGACCCCGAGAGCAGAGGCGCCGAGTTTTGCAGCTTCGCAGAGGAAAGGGAGGAGACCAGATAGAGAGGGCGGTAACATGATCTAAGTTAGATGTATCATTAGACTGTCCTGAATGACTAGGCGTATGGGCGTATCGAATTATAAAGTAGTCAGCCAAATGGAATCATGAAAATTCATACTCATCGTTCAAGTCGTATCGCTGAGACCCGTCACTTGCCTCGCTCTCGTCTCGCTCAGAGCCCATGTCATCGCCACTGTCTGACTGCGGGCCATCATTCGCCGCAGGGTGGTCAATCTGGTCACATGAGTTGACATTCTTGTAGCATGACCACTGCACTTACCATCCTGAGAAACTCTTTGGCAACTTCCTCCTTCTCATCAATCTCTAGAGACTTGGCGAACCAACCTTTCGCTCGACCCATGAGCGAGAAGTCTGCATGATCCCATCCGAGGGGGACAGGTGAAGGCGAAGGTGATCGAGAAGATCTCGGAGAAGAAGAAGGCGAGGACTCATTTCCTCCGGGTACGATCAAGTGTTGCTGTGATCGACTGGGGGAACGTTGTCGGACGTGCGAGGCCGGCTGGGCAAGATAGAAGGCGAGCAACCCAGCATAAGTGTGGAGAGATGCAGAGAGAAGATAGGGGTAAGAGGGCAAATATCTATGAACGGTCAGAGTTGTGGAATCAAGCAAAAGGACATACTGACGTCTCGAGCTCCTCCAAAGCTTGACGATACCGGCCTTCTTTTATATAATAGAGGATGAGGGCGTGCAGCAGTGACGGTTTCTGCTTAAAGTGAGCATTTGGCCAAAACTATCGCTCTATACGAACCTCTTCGTTCT